GGAATCTGATGCCTTTTTCTGACCTCTACAGGTACCAGGCACACACATAGTACATAGACACACATAAAAGCCAAGTTCTCATATACATAAAATAAATCTTTAAAAAATGTTTTAAAAAAAAAACTTTAAAAAGGATAGGTTTCTTTGACTTAAAGTCACCATACCAATTTGGAATGTGTTCTATGAATATTTAATTTTGCTGCAAATTTAAACATCATTATGATAATATGCAACTGTCTCTTATAACACTTATTGACTTAAATATTCTTTCAAAAGATATTATTTTTAGGGTTGGAGAGCATGGCTTATAAGGTGTAGGTACATATTTTGCAAGGCTGCAGACCATGTGCATGTTCTTTTAGCCAGGACATTAGGAGAATTTTTTTTTTCCTTTGATTAGATCAAGCTGCCTGGTTCATAGACTTAGGCATCATTATTACAAAGGGTTTCTCAGTTTTATGCTTGAAATGGGAGTCTGATGAAGCTTAATTTAATGAAAAGCAGATTAAAATTTTACAGTAGTATTTTTTTAATTCATAATTTAACCATGAAAATCAGGAAATTTGACATTACTGTCTTATTGTCAGACCCCATTCAGGTTTTGTCACTTATCTCAGTGATGTCCTTTGTAGAAAAAAATTCAAGTTCAGAACTGTGCATCACATTTAGTTGACATGTTTCTTTAGTCTTCCTTTTAGTCTAGAATAGTTCTTTATGTTCCCCTGACTTTAGGCTAATTATTTAATAGAATGAACTCTAATTTGGGTTGTCTGGTGCTTTTTCATGATTAGATTCATATTTTAGATCTGATGAGTCTGTTCTCATTGCGTTTTGTCAGCTGGTGTACACTTGAGTTTGCTCTTTTCCTGGCATTATTCACTGGTCACTTCACTTAAAGTGTTGTCTGTCAGGTTTTCTGTAGTAATTTTTTGTTGCTGTTGTAACAGACCATCACATACAGTGCCTTAAAACAGCACAGATTTATTTTTGTGCAGTTTTGGATGATAGAAGTACAAATGGGTTTAACTAGGAAGTAATGATGTTGCTAGGACTTGTTCCTCTGGAGACCTTGAAGTAAAATTCACTGACCTTTTCCAGCTTCTAGAGACAGTCTAAGTTCCTTGGCTTGTGGCCCCTTACTCATCTTCAAAAGAGCATCAGTCTGACCTTTGGTTTCACTGTTTTGTCACTTCCTGTCTTAGCTCTCTTATCTACCTCTGAGAGGCACTACTTGATTATATTGGTCCTACTAGGGTAACCTCCCCATGTCAAGATCCTTAATTCACTTATGTAAAAGTTTGTTTGCCATTTAAGATAGTTCCTTGCATGAGGATGTTGCCATCCTGGGAGGCTTGCTTCTTCTACATTGGAAAGTCATTCCTTTCCTCTGTGGTAATTAATATTTTGTAGAAAGGTACAGTGAATTCTGGTTTCTGGGTACTGAGATTTCTGGCTCCTATTGTTTAGAAGCCAAAATCTGGATACCATGCTCACTGTTACTGGGATTTTGCTCTCCTAGTCTCGCTTAGTATACAGAGGTAGGGAATGTATAGGGATTTATAGAGAGAGCAGTGTCTATATCTTAGTATACAGAGGTAGGGAATGTATAGGGATTTATAGAGAGAGCAGTGTCTATATCTTCCTTCCTTCCTTCCTTCCTTCCTTCCTTCCTTCCTTCCTCCCTTCCTTCCTTCCTTCCTTCCTTCCTTCCTTCCTTCCTTCCTTCCTAAATTTTGTTTTTTTGAGAGAGTTTCTTTGTGTAGCCTTGGCTGTCCTAGAACTAGCTCTGTAGACTAGGCTAGCCTCTCAAGTGCTGGGATTAAAGGTGTGCACTACCACAGCTGGCTTTATATTTTTATATTAATTCATATTAGTACTTTCACTTCCAGGCTAATAGTTCAGGTTTAGTCTTGTGTCTTTTTATATTTGTCACTATTTTCTCTGACAGGAAAAAGTAGATTTTAGTATAGATGAATTTCTAAATGGTCTTAATAAATAAAAAACATGGAGCCAGAAATTTGGGTTAAAGGCCAAGAGAAAGATCAGAGGAATAGGACAAACCACGAGCTAACCTCACCTCACCAACCCCACAGCTTCCAAAGAGAGCTTCTTCCTGTATGCTCACCTTTACATGCCTTTTCTGCTCTGTTCTCTCAGTGGCTCTCTAAGCCCCCAGCTACATCACTTCCTCTTCCTACACAGCTGTCACTTTGTGTCTGTCTGTACAGACCTCCAGACCTCTATGGTTGGTACTGGGATTAAAGGCGTGTGTCACTATGCTTGGTTCTCTTCCCTAGTGTGGCCTTAATTACACAGAGATCCTGCCTGCTAAGTGAGAGGATGAAGGGCGTGTGCTACTGCTGCCTGACTTCTTTGTTTACTTATAATGGCTGGCCTTTTTCCTCTGATCGCCAGGCAAGCTTTATTTATTAAAGGACACATAAAATATCACCACATTTTAGGTTTGTTTTGTTTTTTGAGACAGGGTTTCTCTGTGTAGTTTTGGTGCCTTTCCTGGATCTCGTTCTCTGGCCCAGGCTGGCCTCAAACTCACAGAGATCCGCCTGACTCTGCTTCCTGAGTGCTGGGATTAAAGGCTTGCACCACTGCCGCCAGATTTTAGTTTTTTGATATATTAACTTTTTTGATCAGTCTATCTGCATATATAAAACTCATTTGTTACCACCTCTTCTTCTACCTGGATCTGTCTTTATTACATTGATATCCCTGCCAGGTAGCATGTGGATGCCTTTGTCACAGTGTGCAGTTGAACTTCCTACCTGGTGTGTTTGTTTGTTTTTTTTAATTTGTTGTGTAAGGATGGTGGTTTCGTCTTTCTTCCTTCCTTCCTTCCTTCCTTCCTTCCTTTTTTTTTTTTTGAGACAGAGTTTCTTTATATAGGCCTGGCTGCCCAGGAACTTGCTCTGTAGACCAGGTTGGTGGCCTTGAACTTAGAGAGATCTGCCTGTCTTGTCTCTCTCCCCATCCCAAGTGCTGGGATTAAAGGTATATGTGACCACTCCGGACTGGTAAGGATGTTTGCCTGTGTCTTGTGAGCCACATGTGATGTGGGCAGTGCCCGACGCAGAAGGACTGAAGGCACTAACCACCGTTAGTGGACTGAAGAAGGTGTCAGCTTCCTTGGGACTGGAGTTACAGACAGTTGTGAGCTGCCACGAGGTTGCTGGAAATTGAAACCAGGCCCTCTGGAAGAATAGCTAGTGCTTTTAACCCCTGAGCCTTCTCTCCAGCCCCCCACCCCCACATGGTATTTAAGAATTTCACAATACATGAGAGGTATGTGCTTTTGTGCATGCATATTCATTCCTTGGCATACATACAGAAGTCAGGAGAACCTACAGGAGTTAGTTCTTGTTTTCCACCTACGGGTCCCAGGGATGGAACCCAGGTTGTCAGGCTTGGTGGTTAGTGCCTTTACCCACCGAGGACCTCACTGGCCCTGCGTGCCCAATTGTTTTACCTACCTACTATCTCATGTAAGGATTTCACTTTTGTATATATTTTTAAAATATGGTAAAGAAAACAACAGCATTAGCCCAGCTAGACTCAGGTTACATGATCCCAACTTTGTTGGGGACATTGCAGGCATCCCAGCTAGGAGCTGTGGAATTGTTGAGCATGTCTTTTTCTTTCCATAAGGACGGTTTGGTCTGCTGACCTTAACTACACTGCCATCATAGAGCTGCGTCACAACCCATTTGAACTTGACAGCCATGCTCTTAACTGCTAAGCCATCTCTCCAGTCCATCTCTCCGCCCCTTAAACATGCTTTTTAAATCTAGGGAGGATATTGAAACTAAAGGATTGTGCCAAGTTCAGTAAAACAGTACGTCACATTTTAGGTTTGGTTATCATTTTTAATTGAATTGCAGCTTTTCGTAGTGACTAAAATAATTTTGTCACAGTTCTTACACAGGCCTGTCTTAAGTTCTTACAGATTTGACTGTCTTTCTCAATTTAACATAAAATAATTAAAACTTGCGATACTGAATTTTACTGTCCACTCTTGTTTCAGCTCTCTGTTTGTTTCATATTTTCAGTAGATAAAATTCTGATCCTTGTTGGTTAGAATATATGTGGTTAGATAATTATTTCCGTACTTGAATATTGTTTCTCCTTGGTTACTAAATGAACCATGTTTTAATTAGTTTATACTTTTGTTCTATACAAGGAGAGAATAGGATAGAAATGTGCAGACAATTGATTATATGACCCAGGCTTCATAGGTTCAAGTTAGTTTCTAAAATTTTGGAGAAGTTTCCCATGGAAAATACTTGCTTCTTATTAGTTAAACTTTCCCAGATACTGTAGCATGAATCTTAACAGGTCTTACTAATAAAAACAAACGTGAAGCCAGGTATTGGAGTGAATGCTGGAAGATCAGAGAAGCAGAACAAGCCACAGCTTCCTCACCTCCTCAGTTCCTCAGCTGATCCTGTTTCCTCAGACTGGAAGCCTCTGAGTCCTCATCCAAATGGATCTCAGCTGAACTGCTGCTCAAAAGCCTAAAAGCTTAACCAACCTAGTTCCTGGTCCTCACACACCTTATATACCTTTCTGCTTTCTGCCATTACTTCCTGGGATTAAAGGCATGAGTCACCATGCCTGGCTATTTCCAGTGTGGCTTTGAACTCACAGAGATCCAGATGGATCTCTGCCTTTAGAAGGCTAGGATTAAAGGTGTGAGTGCCACCATTTTCTGGCCTCTATGTCTGTCTAGTGGCTGTTCTGTTCTCTGACCCCAGATAAATTTATTAGGGTGCACGATATATTGAGGAACACAATATCACCTCAAGATACTATTCTTTGTAAGTAACAGACAACTTCACATAGTTTATGAATTTTTATAAGGATTATATAAATAGGCAAGACTTGTATATTTTGACAAAATGTTAGGATAGTAGTGAAGGTTAGTATGATATGATTCAGATTTCACTGTGAAAAATAATTTAACTAATCTTACTTTTCTTTCTTGACAGAGCAAATTCGATTAAAGAATATCAGAAAAGTATATGGAAGATGTATGTGGTATCGTTTACGATTATTAAAACCCCAGCCAAATATTATTCCTACAGTAAAGTAAGTAATGGATTTCAATAACAAAATGTACTGAATACTTACTCTTTGCTTAGAGATCATGAATTAGGGAATCTGAGGATGGCTTACATGTGTGCCTGTAAAGAAATTGTAGCCTGTGACAGGGGTGAGGTTTGATTAGTAAGCTTGAGAGCTGTGAACAGATTAAAAGTCAAAACGAGAAGGGTATGTGAGTCAGCCCTTGTTTGGAGACTGTATATGTTATGTGCTAGAATTGGAGTTTGAGGTTGAAGTCTATATGGAAATCAAAGATTTCAAAGACAGGCAAGATTAGGCGTGAATTTCAAGATGATAACTAAAGTTTAGCACGTGTTGCCATATGCTTAATATGTTTATTTGATTCTGTGTTAATTTCAAGTGTTTATGATTTTCCTTAAGCTGAAGCTAAGAAGTGAGTTGATTTTGCCAGAATCATGCAGTGAATGTGGTAGAGCAGGACCTTATCATCGTAATTTTGGCAGATTCATCTGCTTAGACAAGCCACTAGCAAGTGTTTGATTCTGTGAAGCTAAAGGGTGTGCTTTACGCTGCTTTATGTCAAGTTTTTAGCTCAGTCACTAGATTATCTGTGATGGGAACCAGAGGTTGCTACTGCAGAAGAACCCACTGGTGAATTACCCACATTTACCTGCCCAGTGGAGGGTTAAGACTTGGACCAGTTGTTTTAAGTCTGGCTTTAAATGATGAGGATGGTTTTAAACATAGTTAGGTTACTTCAGAGGGTTGAAATAAGATGTTTTCAGAGGGAAAGGATTGGTTTCTGCACAGAGAGGGAGGGAATCTTAGCTTTGGTATTTATTACTCAGTGATGTGAAGCTAAATTCAGTTAGCACTGAGACCAGTTGTAGCCTTCTGTTCACTTTTATTTGCTGTTTAGTCTCATTTTAAATTAAAATTTTATAAACACACACTCCTCTTTTTTTGAGACAGGTTCTCGCTGTGTAGCCCTGGCTTGCCTGAAACTAACTATGTAGATCAGGCTGGCCTTGAACTCACAGGCATTCATCTGACTCTGTCTTCTGAGTATCCGAGGATTAAAATTTTGTTGTTCTTCTTAATTTGTCGTGTGTGTGTGTGTGATGTGTGTGTGTGTGATGTGTGTGTGTGTGTGTGTGTGTGTGATGTGTGTGTGTGGGCATACACATGTCACCGCACACTCCATCAGTGTAGAGGACAGAGAACGGCTTTGTGGATTGCTTCTTTTTTCCACACCGTATGAGGCTTTGGGAATTGAACTCGGGTCATCAGGCTTGTGAAGCAGATTCTTTTCCTGATAACCCTACCCATCAACCTTGAGCCTCAGTTTTCAAGGAAAAAAGTTGGAGGCCTTTTCAGTAATAAATAAGTGATTTCTTTAATTCAGAATGAAGGTCAGAGAACTACTGACTAGATTCTGGTGATAGTTTAGATAAAGTTAGAAATTATGAAAACCCTTGCTTCTTTCCAGTACCTAGTGCTTCTTTCCTGCCAGTGTCTCTGAAACTAAGTTATATCATTTCTGGAAGTAGCTTCCAAATTACATTTAAAATATGGTTAAAAGGGCCGGGTGGTGGTGGCGCACGCCTTTAATCCCAGCACTCGGGAGGCAGACCCAGGCGGATCTCTGTGAGTTCGAGGCCAGCCTGGGCTACCAAGTGAGTTCCAGGAAAGGCGCAAAGCTACACAGAGAAACCCTGTCTCGAAAAACCAAAAAAAAAAAAAAAAAAAAAAAAATATGGTTAAAAGGAAAAAAATGCAGAAGACATTCTAAGTTAATTTATTGAATCTGCGTTTGAGGAAATACTTGTCTTTTTGGAGGAACCAAATATTCTCTTAGGAAATTGGACACAGAACATAATCATGTCATGTTGTCCCCCAGGTTCCCCCGCCTGCCTGCTTTGGCTCTCTAAGAACTGGAGTGTGGTGTTATTGGTTGATTTTCATCAGCTCAGGAGATCCTGTCATGAGCTTCTCTTCTGTTCTTGACTCTGAGAACAGATGCCAAACATGAAGCATCTGATAGAGTTTAGCATCTGGAAGGTTTTGTTCTTTTTCTTAGGTTTGCTTTGCCTTTGTGATTTGTCATTTTTATCTGTTTCATAAAACCTCATAAGATTTGTTAGACTTGTAGATTTCATCAAAGTGAAGAGTTACTGTGTGTGAATAGCATTTTCAAGTGTTCTTTAGATTATTGAGAGTATTAGAAAACTTTAGTTTTATGTTTAGAATTTTCTGCTTTTAATTTTACATGTAATTGTTGTGTGCCTATTATGAGTCAGATATAGAAAGTGCTAGATACACAGTGATTAACAAAATACATATGATTCAAAGATGTGAACCTTAGGAGGGACTGCCAAATAAACAATTGTAACAAATTTAGTAAATAATGTTAGTTCATTTCTTTTGTCTTTGTTACTGTAATAAAATACTTCAGTTTGGGTACTTTATAACAAGGCTTATTTAGCTTATTTTAGTTTTAGAGGCTGAAAGTCCAAGGTCTTTCAGCCACATCCATTTATGACCTTTGGAGTAACATTACAACTTGGTAGATGGCATCATGGTGGAAGGATACATATGCAGATGCATATACATATATGGATACAGATACAGATACAGATATGGATGATACAGTTACAGATGATACATATACAAGGGTCTAGAAGAGGTGTCAAATCCCCTGTGACTGGAGTTATAGGCAGTTGTGAATCACCTGATGTGGATGCTGGGAACCAAACTTGGTCCTCTGCAAGAGCAAACCCCTGAGCCATATCTTTAGTGCCCCAGACTTCATCTCTTAAAGAAAGATCCACTACATCCTTTTGTGTATGGTGAGCGTGTGCATGCATGTTCAGATGCGAGTGGGTACATATCTTTAGGTTTTATGTACATGCGTTTATGTATATATGGAAGCCAGAGGTTGACATCTGGTGTCTGAACAATTTTCTACTTTATTTACTGAGGTGTAGGGTGTTCTAGTTTTATTTCTGTTGCTAGTTACAGTTAAGAGCAGAGATTATATTCTGGGCAGACACCTATTTTGCCTTCTTCCCCCTAGTTAGCTTTAATCTAGATTTCTCCTATCTTTATGTAGCTCAGGACTTTCTGCCTAGGGAATGATGCTGCCCACAGTGGGCTAGGTCTTTCCTATATCACTTAACAATCGACATGCCCATAGTCCAGTCTAATCTAGACAATCCCTTGATTGAGGTTCTTTTCTCAGGTGATCTAGACCATGGTAAGTTGATGTTTAAAACTATTGTACAGGGTTCTTGGTAAACCTGGAGTTTGCCCAGCAAGTCTGTCTAGCCCATTTGCCCCAGGGATCCCATCTCTGCCTCCCAAGTACGGGGTGTAATAGGTGATCATACCTGCCTAACTTTTATGTGGGTGTTAGAGATATGAATTCTGACTCTCAAGTTTGTCCATTGAACTGTCTCCTCAACCCTAGTTCTACCACTGTTTTGTGCTCTATACTGCTAAACCATAGCAGTGAGGACTGGGAGGGGAGTTGCTATGGAAGAGCAGCAGAAAGGACGCTCACTTGGCCCAAGACAGAGAAGGCTTTTTGAGTGGGCTATAAGTGTGGCTAAGGTGGTTTTTTGTTGTTGTTGTTGTTTTGTTTTTGTTTTTGTTTTTTGTGGTACTGGAGTTGAACCTTGCAAATGCTAGTTAAATGTTCTATTGTTGATCTATATCTGTAGCCCCTGAGACTTGGGGAAGAGTTATTACTAGTAGCCCATAACTACCATGAGTTGATTATGTTTACTACATATGAGTCACTTTCAAGGTACTTAAAATTTTAAATCTCATTTAATTGTCAAACCTGTCATGGAAGTTGGAATTGAGATATATAGCTTAAGCAGCTTACCAAACTTCCTTAATTGATATGTAATAACAGTGGGAGTTGAGCTAGTGCGTTTTGTTTTGTGGCCAGGAAAAAAGAGGGGGATGTTCTTCATAGTGTTCTCTCTCCTCTTTGGGCATATATGTGGGCATTTAGGTAGGCTGGAAAACAGCTTGAAGTTATATACTCTTGAAAAGTTTAAAATATGCCTGAGGATGCAACTTACTTTGTAGAATGCTGGCCAACCATGCTGGAAGCCTTTGGTTTGACTCCTAGCACCCTATAAATCAGGTGTGGTGGTGCATGCCTGCACGATTAGCCCTTATGTGGGCTGTAGAAGCAGGAGGGTCAGAAGTTCAAAGTCATCTTCCTTTACATAGTGAGTTTATGGGCAGCCTAGGCTCTATTGAGACCCTTCCTCAAAGTGTGTGTGTGTGTGTGTGTGTGTGTGTGTGTGTGTGTGTGTGTGTGTGTGTGTTTGGTTTAGAATATTGTTTTGGCCAAATGGAAACTTGTATCTCAGTTTCCACTGTTGATTAAACTACCCAGGGGTTAGTAAAAACTGGATAAGATCTTGTTCAGGTGCCAAAGGAATTTGCAGCAAGTCAAAGGAAAAAAGTTATTGTGTGTGCTGCTTTGCAGCTGTAACTGTTCTCTTCAAAGGATTGCTTTTGAAAGGTGGATCATTTGAGTTGAGTTGAAGGATGAATTTAAAGTTTGTGTAGGTAGGCACGCACACTTGGGAACTGAGATTTTGACAGATACAAGAGAGCAAATGCGTGATTGTGGGAAAGCTTATGGAACATTGAAGAACAAAAATCTGTTTTGTTGAAAATCGGGTAAACAGAAAACTAAGGAATCCTCCTAGGTGATTCCAGATGTTGGCTCATTTCCAAATGGTAAGTGCATTTAAGCTAGGTTCTGCCAAAGAGCAGAAGCACAGCTGAAGGTGTGACTCAGAGTTCTTGCCTAGCAGAGCCAGGAAAGGCCCTCGATGTCATCTCAGTGCAGGGATGGAAACAAAGCTAAACAAGGGACCTTCTCTTTGTTCTTAAAGCCAGTCTTTCCAGTTCTGTTTGATTATTTTATGTTTTTGTCTAACAGATCCTGTTCATTGTAACAAATTGTCATACAGAGGATCTGATAGTTCATTTTTTACCTAAAGATATTGATTACTTCGTACTCTTGCTTCTAATCATGTTTCTGCTTATAGAAATTGGATTGTGTTTTACAAAGCTTGAAAGCTGTTTTCCCTTTCAAATTTAACATTAAAAAAATCTTTCATGAGAGATTTTACTTTCGTTTACTAGAAAGTATTTCACTCTGGTTGAATGATTAAAATTATTATTATTTTTTTGCCTAGTAATTGATTTGGTGGACATTTAAAGATGCTAGTATTTGGTTTTACTATGTAGAATACATTCAAGAGAGAAGAAATTAGTTTTTTTTATTGCTCTTTTATATCCTTAACTTGTGCACATTTTTTATGTGTTAGCTATAAAATGTTCTTTTGTGTGGCTGCATCATGGTTTGACTACTCTCCTTAAGTTAGTTATGGCTGATGGACATCAGAATATTTCCAAACTTTACAATTTAAAGAAGGCTATTTATTCATCTTTGTATGCCTGGCCAATTTTTAAAAATTTATCTTACTAAATGTGTAATTTCTAGGTCAAGAGTAAACTTCTTTCATTAAGTGGTTTCTCAGCTATTTCTTATCTATTTTAATGAGTCTAGTATTATTTTCTGTATTTAATTCTACAAATAGTAACATGGGAGGCACTCTCCTAGATTCTAGAGAATTCAGAAGTGGAAACAGCACCATCCTTGCTGTAACAGGAATTTACAGATGTGAGTCAGTAGTGTAGCATAGTGGTGTGCAGCTCCTTTAGATTGTTTTATTCCTTGATCTTGTAGAAAGCCATACAGATGTATTTATTATGTCATTTGTCTTTTTCCTAAACAGGAAAATAGTTCTGCTTGCAGGATGGGCATTGTTCTTATTCCTTGCATACAAAGTTTCCAAAACAGACCGAGAATATCAGGAGTACAATCCTTATGAAGTATTAAATTTGGATCCTGTAAGTAGTATTCTTTAATTTAACAATATCTTAAATACTAGAAGTCTACACTCTAAAACAAATTAGACATTTCCAAAAGAAATCAGACTTCGGTCTGTTAACGTCTTGTTTTAGATGGACAGTTTTCACTTATGTTTCTGTGTGTTGTATGTGTACTCAGGTAGAAGAGGCTATCAGATCCCTTGGAGTTGGCAGGTGGTTTAAAGCTGCCTGAGGTGGGTGCTGGGAACTGAACTCAGGACTTGAGGGAGAGAAGTACAAGCTTTTCTCCACCAAGCCATCTCTTCAGCCCTGTCAGTTAACTTCTTTAAAAAAAATAAGATCTAATTCATTATCATTTAAATACATTTGTTCTATTGTTGATTGCTAGTAGTATTAGCTTATAACTAGTAAACTGTTAAGATTACTTGATGAGAAGTGACTATATTTTAAAAATACATTCATGTTGATTGGCACATGCACTACCTTAAATCTGAGATGGGGGTACTTATAAGAAACTGTTGTCATTGTCATTGAAATTAGGTAGTCTTTGAGTATGTTCTTCGGTGAGATTTTGGTTGAACTCTGTTGATAAACTTCTATGGAACATTAGAACTGGAGTTAGTGAAGAGAGAGGGTGAGGCTGAGAGAACTGTGTCCTGTAACAGCTTAGTAGGCAGACTGAATCTAGTAGTTGTGGTTTTAAACTTCGTTTTTCTTCAGTGGATGGCTTGGTTTTGAAGTTGATATACAAATTAAGGAGAATGTTCATCTTCTAGTTTTCTGTTTTGTAGAAGAAAAGTTCACATATAGTAGGATTTCTATTTGATTGTTTTCTTTTTTAAACATTTTTTAGATTTTATTTTTAAATGTATACATATGGGTGTATGTGTGAGTGTGGGTTTATGCATGAGAATGCAGAAGCCAGCAGAGGGTGCTGGATCCTTTGAGGCTGCCCAGGGTCTGTTGGTGCTGGGAACTAGACCTGTGCACCCTTTTGAAGAGCAATGTGAACTTTAACCCCTGAGCTATCTCTCCAGTCCAGTGTCTCTTTTTTTTTTTTTTTAAAACTATAATTATCATGGCCACCAAGAGTATAATAAAAAGATGTAGGGAAATAAAAATGATCCAGAAGTATTGATAAAAAGTGAGATTGAGAACCAATGCCAGTTCTTTTTTTAAATATTTACTTAATATTAAAATACTTAGAAGCAGATGAAATAAGATACTGCTCAGGGCATAAAGCAAGCAGATCTTTGACTTAGCTGCAATAGTTTACTCTTGATCCTTTTTGGATAGTAAAGCCACTGTACTTTTATTTAAATGTGGAGTTACATGGTTTCACCACCATTACCATTAGTGACTAGTATATTGCATGTCATATAGTTAAATGCTTGAGAAGTATATGTATGAGATGAAACTTGGGAGACAAAATGTATAGGAGAAAATGTTACTTTCTTTTGTCAGAACATTGAGAAGTTCATGGTTTAAGATAAAAATAGGATTGATTATTTCTTATTGCATTATGTTCTTACGTATTAACAAAGCTTTTCCTTTTAGGGAGCAACAGTAGCAGAAATTAAGAAACAATATCGCTTGTTGTCACTTAAATATCATCCAGATAAAGGAGGTGATGAAGTTATGTTCATGAGGATAGCAAAAGCTTATGCAGCGTAAGTATCATAGGGCCTGTTACACTTTTTAAAGAAAGGGGTAAAGATACTTTCTGTTTAAGAAAGTAGTAAGTGAAATGAATGTTACACACTTTTATTAAATATTAACCAAGTATATTTGAACCTGACATTTATGGACCTACTCAGCAGCTCTAAAGTGGTAGTTTAGTTAAATCATAAGTTACTCAGGGTTGGCACTTAGAGAAGGGATTTTCCCCAAGTTTAATTAAATATGTCTTAGTTACTGATTTTGGTGTGAAGAGACCCTGGACCAAGGCAGATTATAAAAGAAAGTGTTAAAATTAGGGCCTTGCTTACAGTTTGAGGAGGTTAGTCCATGATCATCATGGCAGGGACATGGAGGCAAGCAGACAGGCAGGCATGCTACTGGAACTGATATCCCATCTGAAGGGTGGAGGGACAGAGAGCAAGATGGGCCTTCCCCAACAAGACCACCTCCTGCTCTTTCCTACACAGTCCACCAACTGGGAAACAAATATTTAGATACAGGAGCCTGTAGGGATCATTCTCATTCCAACCACCACAACAACTGAGTTGTGTTGAGCAGTTTCGAAGCATCCTGAATAGCAGACGTGTGTTTGAGTCTCATTTTCTCTTTTGAGGCGTTTGTTAAACCCGTTCTATTCTCCTGTTTTGACAGTGTGTGTCTCTCACTGAACTGTTCAAGGGCAAGTGTAATGTTTACTTTAAGTGCTTTATTTTTGGTATTCTTTCAGAATTTCATTGTAATAGATGGTTTCTAGTTACTTTACTGTTAGATACTGTATCTGTTGAGATGTAGATTTTGTTTATTTACTAACTGTGTGTGTGTGTGTCACTGCAAATGTGTGGAGAGTAGGTTGGGAGCCAGTGCTCTTTCCCTGCTGAGCCGTCTCACCAGCCTGAGTTACAGATTTCTGTCTGTCTGTCTGCTCTGCCTCCCAAACCTTCTTAAGAATCTTTTTAGAACTTTCAGATTATTTTCTTGTTGACCTAGATGTAGGCATAGGTAAGACACATTGTTACTGTTAAGAAACCTTGTGAGCTGAGGGTAGAGCTCAGTAGAGTACCTGGCAAGTAAGTGTACACAAGCCCTAGGGTTTGATTTCTCACAACTCAGAAAACAAAAACAAAAACAAACCTGTATTATTCACATATACATACCCAGACAATTTTACATTTATAAATCCCCCCCCCACCCGCCCCAACATAGGGTCTCACTATGTAACTCTAGCTGCCTATAGATCAGTATGTCCTCAAACTCCAAGATCTCAAGGTTTTGTTTTGTTTTTTGCAGAGTAAGAGATATGGGTCTGATTTCATTCTTCGGATGCATATCTTCTCTGGCCAGCACCATTTGTTGAAAAGACTTTTTCCCCTAGTGTATGTTTTTGACACCTTCAGCAAAGCTTAGGCATTCACAACTCTGGGTTGATCTCCCATTTTCTGTTCTATTCCATTGATCTGCATGTCTGTTTCATACCAGTACAATGCTGTCTTTATCACTGTGGCTCTGTAGTGTAGTTTTAGGTTAGGTAATAGTATGTTTCTGGCTGTGTTCTTTCTGCCTAGAATTGGTTTGGCTATTAGGATTTTTTTGTTTTCAAAGCATTGTCAGATTTGTGAAGGAACTGAGATTTTCATCTAGTGCTTTTTATGATGTATACTGGGATCTGAAATAAAGGCATTTTAATTCTCTGCTTTGAGCTATTGGCCAGGTCAGGACTTACATTTTATTTAGGTGTTGAAAATCATTCCGTAACTTTTATATTGCCTGACTTGAAAGCTCTTGTGTAGAAGGTGTTTGCCTAGTTCTCCTGGCACTCGGCTTAGAAGGGCCTTTTCCCACAACGGTGAAGTTTTACAGGCGACGTTGACCTCTTGAGAGCATAGTGCCACCATTTGGGAATTAACTACTACATTTTAAATTATTAATGTACTCATTGGAGACGTTTTAGAAAATAGGCTGTTAGGAAATAAATAAAAGTCACTTAAAATCTTAGATTCTTATAAGGCTTAATAAATAGCCTTTGAGTTTCATCTGACTTAATTAGCTAAACTTGAGCTAAGCAGGAATTTGTGTCAAGGTCCAGGAATTAGCATTTACGTGTGTGCGCGCGCGCACACACACACACACACACACACACACACACACACACACACACACACACACACACCCCTTTTCAGAGAGAGTATTTTTGATTCTTTGAGTTATTAATCCCCTTTGGGGAAGGGTATGTATATCTGTGTGGTATGTGTGTTCACACATGTGGGTGTACCTGTATGTAGAGGCAGAGGTTAGTGTTGGTGTTTCACTCTCCACCTTATCTACTGAAAAGGCCTCTCTCACTTCAGTCCAACAGTAGATAGCCAGCTGGGCCCAGGTGCAGCCCGTCTTTGTCAACTGAGAGCTGGGTTATCCGTGGGCCGCTGTACCTTTGTCAGGTTTATCTGATACGGTACTGGGGCCTTCCATGCCTGCAGAGCAAGCACTCTGCTGAGTGAGCCTCATCCCCAGCCGGGGTGACTGTCTTTTCAGAGGAGAGTTTGCTTCAGATGGGGAGGGTGTGGGACATTGGAGCAGTTAGAAGTGCTCACTACTCTGCCTTCCAAAGAACCCAAGACTTCAGTTTCCAGCACCCAGTTTGGGCAGCTCACAACCTCCTGTAACTCCAGTTTCAGGGACTTTCAAAGTCTCTGTGGGCACCTGTGCTCTTGTACGTGTACACACACACACACACACACATACACACACACACACACACACACACAAAGTAAATAAATCTAAAAACAAAGGTATTGATTGCCTAAGAAGTTCTTACATTTAAATACTTATTTTTTGGGTATGGCTTTCTAATTTTGGTACCTATTTTCTTCATGGTAGTTTAACAGATGAAGAGTCTCGGAAAAATTGGGAAGAATTTGGAAATCCAGATGGGCCTCAAGGTGCGGTGAATATAAAAATGTTGGTAGTATTGTATATTATGAAAATATTAACTAGAATAAGAGGAATATTGATTTTTCTTTGTTTATGGGTATGAAAATTACAGCCACAAGAAGTTAGATGAATACATTGAACTTCTTTACATATATGTTTTGTTTATATTTATGTTTGTGCACCATACACATGACTGGTGCCTATGGAGATTAGAAAGAGTGGGGGCATTAGATCTCCTAGAGCTGGAGTTTGGGCGCCATTGTGAGCCATAGTGTGGGCTGGGAACTGAACCTGGATCCTGAAAGAGCAGCAAGCACTCGTTTTTCTTTTATTTCAGATTTATTTTATGTGTGCTGCTTATGTGTGTGAAGGTCAGAAGAGGACATTGGATCCCCTGAATTTGGAGTTATGGATGGTTGTGAGCCACTCTGTGGGACCTAGGAACTGAACCCAGGTTCCCTGCAAGAGCAACAAATGCTCTTAACTGATGAGCTACTTGGGGCAGGAGAGATGGCTCATCTGTTAAAGGCTAGGCTCACAACCAAAAAGACAGCAAGTGCTCGGAAGCACTGAGCAGTCTTTCCAGCCTCTCTGTTTACTTTTTACTTAATTTTTTTTTTTTTTAAAGACTTTGGTTCCCAACATAAATTGGACTTGGTAATTTCTTCTTCTTTTTTTAGGGGGGTAGGTAACTGGAGTGAGGGGGCTAGACCTAGGAAGACTGGGAAGTGTGTGTGTGTGTGTGTGTGTGTGTGTGTGTGTGTGTGTGTGTGTGTGTGTGAGAGAGAGAGAGAGAGAGAGAGAGAGAGAGAGAGAGAGAGAGAGATAGATATTGGGGTACATTATGTGAAATTCCCAAATAATCAATAAAAATATGTTGGTGGGAAAAAACACAAAAAAAACTTCAGTTCCTAGCACCATGTTGAGCAGCTCAAAGCTGCCTATAATTCCAGCTTCAAGGAGATCTAATCTTGGTCTCTGGGGGTGCTTGTACTCATGTGTATATACCTATTAACAGATACAGACAGGCTAGAGAGATAGCTCAGAGGTTAAGAGCACTGGCTGTTCTTCCAGAGGCCCTGAGTTCAATTCCCAGCACCTACATGGTGGCTTGCTCACAACCATCTGTAATGAGATCTGGTGTCCAAGCACGCATACAGACAGAACATTGTATACATAATAAATAAATCTTTAAAAAAAAAGATACAAACACATACTTACAATTTAAAAATAATAAAATAATTTTCTCCATGTGCATGCCACCTGTATGTACACATTCATGCATACATTTGTGCATACCATGAGCACATGCAAAAATTTTTTCTTTACTAATTTCTTACATTTTCAAGTGTTTATATGAATTCAAGGCATGAAAGTATTTGAGTTTTCTAGTAAAAAGAAACTTAAGTGTAAAAAGTTTCCCCATTGAAAACTATGAAGTTCATACACTCTCCTGTAACATACATACATTCATTTATTTTAAGACAAGGTCTCACTCTCATCCATGCTGACCTTGAACTTCCATTGATCCTCCTGCCTCAGTCTCAAATGTTGTACAAGCCTGGGTGTATTTTTTAAGTTTGTATAATGGAAATATATGTAACGTAAGAAGTTTTTTCAGGAAATGGTGAGGAAACTTAATTTTGAGATACAGATAAATAAAATTGAAAGCAGAATCTCTAGAACAGTGATTTATTTTATTTCAGCTACAAGTTTTGGAATTGCCTTGCCAGCTTGGATAGTTGACCAGAAAAATTCGATTCTGGTGAGTGCATTTATATAAGGCCTGTTCTGATGTTCTTGATATACTTTTGTTCTATACTGTATTAGGGTGTGATATAATGAAACTTTCTCAAAGAGACTCTCACATGCACTTACTTGCTACTGTGTTTTGAAAGCTACATAGCAAGAGAAAAGAATTGGTTCTCATTACACGCTAGTTTAGGACAATGGATTCTAGTTTTGTTTTTGGTTTGTTTGGTTGTTGTTGTTTTGTTTTGTTTTTGTTTTTTCTTTTGTTTTTGAAACAAGGTTTCTCCTGGCTGACCTGGAACTCACTCTGTAGATCAGGCCGGCCTCGAACTCACGGAGATCCGCCTGCTTCTGCCTCCCGAGTGCTGGGATTAAAGGTGTGTGCCACCACCGCCCAGCAGCAGTGTAGTCTAAGTTTGAAACTGTCAAGTTTTGCTAATTTATTTTGAAAGTATTTTTGGTTAGTGTCCTACTTTCGGATTGAGAACTACTGGATTTTATGGTAGCCATATTTATCTAAGGTGAACTCACAATTTAACTTACTCATTTCACCTTTACTCAAACTAAGCTACTGATATTAATTGAAATATACCTAATTCCATACTAGGAAGCAATGGGACATCAGACAGGCTTCTATCTTGGATAGTTGCTGCAGCCCTAAAACATCAGGAATTGTCTTAATACGTTGTTTACAAATTGATGATTCTCTACTTGAGGTTTCATGAAAGTAATTATCTAGGAGCTATTTTATTTTAACTTAATCTTTCCTTATTACTTTTAAATGTATACTCTCTCTCCATGTCTGTCTGTCTCTCATGTGTATGTGTGTGTTGTCTCTCTGTGTCTGTCTGTCAGCCTGTCCCATCCCTGTCTCGCCCCCCCCCCCCCCCCTTGTGTGTGTGTGTGTGTGTTGCGGGGGTGGGGGTGGGAGGGGAGGGCTGCCCAGGTTACAGCATATTTGTGGAGGTCAGAGGATAACTTGCTGGAGTTGGTTGTCTCCTACCATATGGGTCCTAGAGCTGGAAGTCAGCTAGCTAGTCTTGGTGGCAGGTACCTTTACCTACTAAGCCATCCTGCTGGTCTTGAGGAGCCTTTTTTAAGCTTTAAAAGCAAAATATACACAGTTCATCTATAGTTTGTTTTGAAAATGCCTATTTTGTGACATTAAAATTGATAATCTTGTATACTTGCTGCTTATAAGTGCATCTATCATACTTAGGGCTACTGTGGGAATAATAGGAAAGGGAAAGATAGCTGACAGATTTCAGATGAAGCTGTAGGCGAAAATTCAATAGTTACTATCAAATAAAAATGAAATGGCACATTTGTAGTTAGGCACTAGAGTTAGTTTGTAAGGACTTATAATTTATTTCACAGCACTACTCGCAAGATATGACTATAGAAAGTGCTTGACTGGAAGGGAGGCATAATTTATAAAACTTTTGCAGGTATCTATATTACATCAGTATATAGAAAATTAAAAGATGATTTTTAAAAGACAAAAAAGCTCTAGACTTTGACTATAGTAACACTGTTAACCTGTGTGCCTAGGACAAGCTCTGTGATCTGTTTGTACTTCAGCTATACTATCTACAAAAAAAACCCAAAAAGGTACCTTCATTATAAAGGATCAAATAACAGAGTGCTTTTTAATAGTGGGACCTCTTTATAAGTCTGAACAATGTTTTGATTTACCAGACCGAGGCATAACTACTTTCTCTTTAACTCTAGGTTTTACTTGTATATGGATTGGCGTTTATGGTTATCCTTCCTGTTGTTGTGGTAAGTTCTACTACTCTATATTGATTGTTTTAGGGTAGTTGCTCCATAAAATTTTGATTTAGAATTTAATCGATTCAACGTGATATTTTTAAACACGTTGTTGTTGTTGTTGTTGTTGTTTGAAACAGGGTCTTACTACCTAACTCTACCTGGCCTGGAACTTGATAGGTAGTCCAGGTTGGCCTCAGACTACCTCTGCTTCCTGATTGCTGGGATTAAAGGCACCACCACGCCCAGCCTATTTTTATGTATGTGTGTAGGGTATGGGCACATGAGAGTAGGTGTCCAAGGAGTCCAGAAGAGAGTATAGGATCCCCTGGAGCTGGATAGTTATGAGCTAGTTGATGTGGGTGATGGGAACAGACAGAACATAGGTTCTCTATAAGAACAGTACGTGGTCTTCGCCATTAAGGCATATCCCCAATCCCTAGCCACTCATTTTAAAAAATAACTGTGTAGTACTATATAATGAAGAGCTACCAAAAAGTTTATTTCATCTTTCATTTCTTTGTGCCATGTGTTCTTTTTGATTCTGGAGTTTGTGTGGCTCCATAAGTCCTATTATACATCTGTCTTGACCTCTCCATAGGATTGCTGTGTAAGATCCAATCTCATGAGAACATGAATGAAAATACGTCAGCTATAAAATGGCCCCAAGACTTATCAAATTTTGTAGTAGAAACCACTTTGTTTATAGCAATGAGTGGTTTTATTCTTGTTTTATCTTTTCAACGGTTTCTGCTAAAACTTAAAGCATTTTAATCATGCCTAATGGTCTGTGTTGGTGTTTAGGGGTCTGGCAGTGTGAGTATTTGTTAGTAAGTCTTTGAAATATGGAACAAGCTCAAGCACCTCATTACTCTTAGTAAATTTTTGGAAAATTCACACACACTCACACACACACACACACACACACACACACACACACACTCACACACACATTGTGCTGCCTCAAGCTTAATATTTATAATTTTTCATGCTTTATATCTTGTTCAATTTTATTTGTATTTAGGGCTCTTGGTGGTATCGGTCAATACGCTATAGTGGAGACCAGATTCTAATACGTACAACACAGATTTATACATACTTTGTTTATAAAACTCGAAATATGGATATGAAACGTAAGTAAACCTAAGTAACTGCTGTTTGTTGCATTGTTTTCTGAGTCATTTCTATGTTGCTATATATTTCTTAACTCTATGGTAGATTCCAGGTTATAGTTCATCAGATTGAATCAGAAACCAGGAGGACCATTGCTGACCGGCTCCCCCTCAGCAGCACATTTAGTGGCTTTTCGTACAGCCTAGGCACATCTGCCCAAGAGTGGTACCTCCTCTATTAGCATCAAGAAAATGCCCCCACAGACATGCCCACAGGCTAGTCTGATCTAGGCATTTCCTCAGTTAAGGTTCCGTCTTCCCAGATGACTAGTTTATGTCATTAATGAAAGTGTATAAAATTACCAGGCTTCCACATAGCAAAGGCAACAGTTAAATGAGGAAGGAGATGGCCTACAAGATGGAGGAAATGTTGGGTAGCTAAACAACTGATAGAGGATGAATTTCTAGAATGCATAAAGAATTAAAAACCTGGTGTAATTGTATACATCTGTAATCCCAGTACTCAAAAAGGGAGAGCTAAGAGGATTGTCACAAGTCTGATGCCAGCCTGGTTTACATAATGAGTTCCAGGCTAGCCAAGGATTCAGTGTTTCAAAAGGAAGAAGAATTCTATCTTACTCTAGCCAGACTTGCTGTTACTAAGAAAATGATTAACAAAAGCTGGCAAGGATGCAGCTTCTAGTGAGAATGTCAGTTAGTCCAGCTACTGTACACAATTCCTCAAAAACTCTTTCAATAGATTGAGCATATGATGAGCTGCTATACCACTTCTAGGGATATACCAAGAGGAAGCCAAGTCAGACACCTCTGCATCTGTGCTTACTGTGGCATTGTGTACAATAGCCAAGCTGCAGAATATGCCTAGGTGCCTGTCAGCAAACAAGTGGATAAGGAAGATGTGGTATATATAGCAACCATCATTTTTTTTTTTATTCATCCATAAGGAAGAATGAACTTAGGGAAGTTTCAGAAAAATTGATTAAACAGGAGATAATTATATTATGTGAAATAAATGAGACTCAAACATTACATTATTTCTCTCAAATAGATCCTAGGTTTTTATGTGTACACGTAAAATCATAAATACACACACACACACACACACACATATGTCATGAAAGTTGAAGCAAGACTGTCTGGGAAAAGGAAGAGTACTAGCTGGACGGGGAGGGGTGGATATGGTCAAAATACATGATATAATTGAACAAGATGTCTGTGAACCCTTCACTGTGTATAGTGAATATAGGGTATAGAAGAGAACGAGTATTACTTTCTGTTGTGCATATATATTACTCTTATATTCAATTGAAATATTAATATAGGGACTTCTTTCCTTATGAAAATGGTTCATGTGTTTTGTTTTGCCCGTGGGATACTGATTTCTGAGAGTGTTCCTTAGTCTCAGATAATTCTGTCACAAAGCATTTTTTAGCTGAAGGATTTATTTACATTTCCTTCAGCTGTCTTTGGAACAGTTATTCTCCCTCCACCCCCGTGAAAATATTTGAGCCTGGTGTGATGGTGCATGCTTTTAATCCCAGCACTTGAGAGGCCAGGGCAGGCAGATCTTTGTGAGTTCCAGCCCAGCCTAGTCTACATAGGGACTTCCAGGCCAAAGTTACATGGTGACACTGTTGCAAAAAAAAAAAAAAAAAAAAAAAAAAATTTTTTGGGGGGGGGGCGTGGGCGTTGTGGTAGGTCAGAGGTTTACGGTGCCTGCTGTGTGTGGGGCACATCTGAAGAAACCAAAGTGCACGGAGTAGTTACAGAACTGTCGTCTCTACTCTTGAGCGGCTGTAGTCCCTTTTGTTTTTTAGCAGAGATTCTCTTCTGTGTTAAAGGAAAGGTAAGATTCATGGTTAGGGTGAAATTGATGATTGTAGTGTCAGTCCTTATAGAGCTTTTAGGATAATAATACATGTGGCAGGGAATTATGTGCATTTCCATAAAACTCTACAAGGTTCCAGAAGTTTTGTTTACTTGATATTCTGAGAAGTCATGGAATAAAAAGAATCTCTCACTCTTGGTAATTTCTTATTTCCAGCCTTGCTTAACTGAAGGGCACTCATTTACATGCAGCATTCTAACATCACATGAAGTACTAATGCTCTCTAGCAGGCTTCTGTGGAACACATGCTTAGTATATAAACATTCTATTTTAAATTATCTTAATTTTTCCAGTCCTTTTGTGCCCTTAATTTGATGAGCACTTATACTCACTTGGGATAGGTAACAATTGTGTACACTTTTAAAAAGTGTAGTTTCTTTTGTTTTAGTGGGAGATATTAATTTACTTGTCAGTAGTGGAGGCCAGATGACTGTCAGCATTGCATTTGTGCATGATTAGAAAGGTGCTTAACTTTAGGGTTAAGGGAGTTATCTCAGGAGGAGAAATTAATAGGTAAGCAAACATCTATTTACCATTATATTTGTTTTGTTTTCATAGGTCTCATCATGGTTTTAGCTGGAGCTTCTGAATTTGATCCTCAATATAATAAAGATGCCACAAGCAGGCCAACAGATAATATCTTAATACCACAGGTTAGGCTGATCTTACACATTTCTTGATAAGCAATAAAGTACAAAAGTGAATGATTCATGATATCTTTCTGAATAATTATTTTTCTTTGCCTTAGCTAATTAGAGAAATTGGCAGCATAAATTTAAAGAAGAATGAGCCTCCACTTACCTGTCCATATAGCCTGAAGGCCAGAGTTCTTTTACTGTCTCATCTTGCTAGAATGAAAATTCCTGAGACCCTAGAAGAAGGTATTTGTGACTCTAATATGTAAAGGGTTTTAATAGGACCAAAGCAACAGATATAAGTAGTCTTGGTGATTCAGCGTTTAGATGATGTTCTTTTTTGTTCAATCAAATAGTTGTTTATATTTCTTTAAAAAATCTATTTGTATATAATTACTTTACAAATAGTTTGAAAGTCTACATCAGATGCTTTGGCGGATGTCAAAATGTATTATTTCAAGATCAAATATTCTGTATGAAATGTTTAATAATTGCAAGTTAGCAGAAGAATTTCCTAAATGGCTTTGATTGTTGAGACAGTCTCAGTTATGTCTCTGAAGCTGTCCTTGAACTTGCGCTGCTGCTCAGGCTGGACGCAAGCTGAAGACCTTTCTTCCTCAGCCTCCTGTGGTCTGAGATTATAGATGTACATCACCATCTAGTGATTTTTGAGAAAAGAACTTGAAAGATTTTTAGATTTACAGCAAATATCTGACCCTCTTAATCCAACATTATTCCCCCCATTTCTCAGTAGTAGCTACAGAGAAGAAGATTTGATTTTCACTTAAAGGTTCATAAGTGTTTGAAATACCTATTCTTTAAAACAAAGGTCGTGGGTTGAGATGGAAGTGTTACCAGAGAGATCATTGATTTGAATGTCATCTCCTTTTTAGCTGTAGTATTTCAGTTGAAACTTAAAAACTTGTCATCCTAAAAAACAAATGTTCTTTCTGAATGAAATTTTACCATCCCATCACTGTTCATCTAATGATGTAATCCAGGACTCCTGAAATAAGACCGTTTGATATTAGTGCTAGGAAGGATGCTTAGGATGGAAGGAAGAAAGATTTTTAGGCATTGTCATTGGAGTTACTTTGAAATAAATTAGTAATTTTGTTACTAATGTTCTATGCACATATACAGGCATATTCATTTTTACTAGTCATTTCTCACACATAGGGGGCCTGCTTTTTAGGTTGAGTACCAAATCTAATGGATTTCGTTTCAAAAGTTAATTTTGTCTGTCTTCGTCTACATCCTGGTACCACAGAGGCCTGAAGAGGGCTTTGGATTCCTTGGAACTGCAGTTACAAGTTGTTGTGAGCCACTGTGGGTGTTGGGAATTGAATTCAAGTCATCTGAAGAGCAGCTTGTAGCTGGAGTCTTCTCTAGTCCTGCCTGGCCCACGGTCAGGACAAATCTCTCTCACCTGCCAGTCCCACAGCTGCTCAGACCCTACCAAGTAAACACACAGAGACTTATACTACTTACAAACTGTATGGCCGTGTCAGGCTTCTTGTTATCTAGTTCTTCTATCTTAAATTAACCCACTTGTATAAATCTATACCTTGCCACATGGCTCATGGCTTACCGGTATCTTACATGTTGCTCCTCATGGCGGCGGCTGGCAGTGTCTCCTGACTTATCCTTCCTGTTCCCAGAATTCTCTTCTCTGTTTGTCCCGCCTATACTTCCTGCCTGGCTACTGGCCAGTCAGCATTTTATTTATACAGAGCGATATCCACAGCAGCTGCTAGTGCTCTTAACTGCTGAGACATCTCTCTGGCCCCGCAAATGAATGATGGTGATGATGGTGATGGTGATGATGATTTATCATTTATTTTTCTGTATTGCTGGTATTTGAACTCAGGACCTGACATGTGCTATGCATATACTCTGTCATCTAGCTACATTCCCAGCCTTTTAGAATTTTTTTAACTTATTTTTTATTTTAATGTGTATTTTAATGTATAACTTTGCCTGCAATCGTGTTGTGTATCACGTGTGTTCAGTACCTGAAGAGTCCAGAAGAGGGTATTAAATCCCCTGAAGCTGGGGCTGGAGAGATGGCTCAGAGGTTAAGAGCACTGGCTGCTTTTCCAGAGATCCTGAGTTCAATTCCCAGCAACCACATGGTGGCTCACAACCATGTATAATGAGATCTGGTGCCCTCTTCTGATGTGCAGGCAGACATGCAGACAGAATACTGTATACATAATAAATAAATAAACGGTTTAAAATAAATAAATAAATCCCCCGAGGCTATAGTTACAAACTGTTGTCAGTCACATGTGGGTGCTAGGACTTGAACCCAGGTCCTCTGGAAGAGCAGCCGATGCTTTTAACCACTGCAGAGCCATCTTCCAGCCCATTGTTTTTGTTTGTTTGTTTGTTTCTGGAGATTGGATTCAGGTGGTCAGGCTTGCACCACAAGCACTTTTACAATCTTAGTCACCCCCTTAATTAACTTCCTCCTCCTCTTTTCTGTACTTAGTCGACCTTGTTCTCATTCATAGTCTTTGCATTGACCCACAATTATAGGAACTTGACAGCACAAACAGAACATTCTCAAAGATAGCAGGATTAGAACTAAATTTATGATTAGCACTATTGTAGAGAAAGTAAGGAATGACTATCATAATTACGTAATTAATTAATATAGTTGCGCCATTATGTTAGAATTTGGGTTTTGCTACATCTTGTATTAGTAATGGCATCTACTTTTTGCAGTGAAGCTGAGGAGAAGCAGTCTTTCAGACATTACAATTCTGAGACGATGGGAAATATTGAAGGGCCAGGACACTGTGTTTTATGTTTTAGCCTTGGCCTTCAAAGGGGAAAAGTATTTTCACTGTAATATTAGGATTGTTTGCTTCAGGGTTGTCGTTTTTTTTTCTTTCTCCTAGATCAACAGTTCATGCTGAAAAAATGTCCTGCTCTGCTTCAAGAAATGGTTAATGTAATCTGCCAGCTAATAATAATGGCCAGGAGCCGTGAAGGTGAGGAAGAAATGTAATTAATTTGGACTTTTTCCTGCAAGTGTTTGCTTCAGGAAGTATACTTCACAGTTTAAAGATTTATGAGTATTTAATTACAATTTTGTATACTGAGTCGATTTGCTCATGATTTTTCTCATTCTTTTCATTGTTTTATTTTTAGTGTTTTAAATGTTTTGTTTCCTCTGAATATTTTTTAGTTATTTTAACAGTGATTTTTTTTTTTTGGCATAGTGTGTAATTTTTGTAAGAGAGTGTGTGTGTGTGTGTGTGTGTGTGTGTGTGTGTGTGTGTGTGTGTGTGTGAGAGAGAGAGAGAGAGAGAGAGAGAGAGAGAGAGAGAGAGAGGGAGAGAGAGAAGAAATTTTTGGCTGTTAGGGGAAAGGGGATGCTAAAATGCTAAAAAAAAGGAGATTGATTATAGTTTGTTGTTGTGGGTGATTTTAGTTCTTGGCAATGCTACAGTGAATTTAGAAATACTGATAATACCTTCTTACTTAGTTACTGTTGTTGGAGTTTGTAAATAGAAAGAATTTCAGCAAGGCATGTATTACCTGTAACCTTAGCACTTGTTAGGCTGAGGGCAGGGGTCTAGTTTGAGGCCAGGCTGGGCTTCGTAGGGAGACCTTGCTGCCTTCATAAAGTAAAAATAAATTTAAAAAACACAAAATATTTACTTATCTTTTATTTTTGAGATAGGATCTTGCTTTGTAGCCAAATCTGCCGTAGCTTCTTAAGCAGTAAGGCTACTGCTTTGCTGTACTGTGCCCAGCTGAGGACTCGTGGGGCTTGGTGTGTTTGTGGCAGTATCTATCTTCCTGCATTGCCTACGCTGGCCTTGCCTCAGCCCAGTGAGTGCTAGGATTGCCACCCAAGTGCTGTGATTCCAGGTGTTCTTCACCACTTCATGGTACCACTGAGCATGCCTGATATTTTACTATTACTGGAGTTGATACAGAGACTTTTGTTAAATTAATGGTTGTCGCAGAATAATACATACTGGACCAAGTTTATGTATTTTAACATTTTTCAGTAGTTTTTTAAAGGAAAAATCAATATCCCCATGTTGAAGTTTAGGTGTTGAATGTTAGTGTGATTTTATTCCTTGTAATGAAAGTGTAAAAAGTACAGCCCTTTTGTTTCTTTTTTTCCTATTCTTCCTAAGAAAGGGAGTTTCGTGCTCCAACTTTGGCATCCTTAGAAAACTGTATGAAGCTCTCCCAGATGGCTGTCCAAGGCCTCCAGCAGTTTAAGTCTCCCCTTCTGCAGCTCCCTCACATCGAGGAGGACAATCTTAGGAGAGTTTCCAACCATAAAAAGGTTTGTTGACTACTTTCTAGTCAGTTTAGCATCTTGTCGTATTACAAGGTCATGTGAATAAAGTTTTCTAGACGTGGCTACTGTGGATTTCTTAGATTTACAATATCTTTTGTTAGTATTTCTTAATTAGGTGGTTTTATAATATTTTACTACTGTAGAATTACTATTTTGGGTTGAGTGAATTTTAGCAATTAATATTTTATTTTTACATTACAAAAATGTATGTACCAAGTAAGAATACATCATATACTTTTCACTTTGTTTTTGACTTAAAGGTTGGGCAGTTGTTATAGTTGAGTATGAACAAAAATAAAAAATGAAGCATTCTCAGAAATAGTGTTGGTGGACTGATGATGAAGTCCAGGGGTCAGAATACTTGCTTGGTGTGTACAAGACCCTGGGTTCGATACCAGTTACTCATGGGGGTCGGGGGATGTGTGCGGGGTGGAAGGATACACTGATTAGGTAAAGATCATTTCTCTTTTAGAAAACATTGTAAAGACTTGAATATCTAGAAATAGTTTGGAAAATATAAGAAACTGAATTTATAATTCTGGTAGATTTTAAACTTGACTTTTTGGGTGTGGTAGTATGAGCCCATGTAACCAGTACACTGGGAGGCTGAGGCAGGATGTCTGTGGTAAATTTGAGGCCTAGTCTAAGTAGTGAACATGAGGCCAGCAGGGGCCACACAGTGAGACCCTGTTTTAAGAAAACAAGAAAAAAGTTACTTTGTATATAGTAGAAGAAGTGAGTAGAAGATCAGCTTTGGATTTGGTAGTATTAAAGGTAATAACTGTATAAGAAATCTGTATTCAAGTTCTCTGTCCTTTAATCATATTACCATTATAAATTTCATCAATGTTAAGTAATAATTTGAAACAACAGAATCCTAGAGTTGAAATTCTACCTGCCTCATGATTTAATCTCTGTGAACATAACAATTAAGTATCTATTGCTTAAATTAAATTTTAATTAATTTAAATTCATTTAACTTACTGCATAGTGAAACCTTTAGAGGCCACCTGTACTTGGAAGATTTTTATGCTTATAACTGAAAATAAATAAATTTAAGACAATAGTTCTTAAGTCAATATTCTATATGAACATATTTTATTTTTGTACTCTTTTTTCTGATAAAAAAAATAAACTTGTAATGAATTTATAACAAACAACCTTAGTTTTTGTGATCTTGCTTTGAAATGTCCATAATGTTAACTCTTTTCTGAAGTTGCTGCATTTTCTTTTGGTCAGCATGCCACTAGTTTTCATTTTATGAAAATTTTATTGTGTTTTTTTTTTTTTTTTTTCTTTTCCTTTTTTAGTACAAAATTAAAACTATTCAGGATTTGGTCAGTTTAAAGGAATCAGATCGTCATAGTCTGCTGCACTTTCTTGAAGATGACAAATATGAAGAGGTGATGGCGGTCCTTGGGAGTTTTCCCTATGTGACTATGGATATAAAGTCACAGGGTAAGTGGGGCTTTCTCTGCTGCTCATCACGTGATTTGGTCTCATTCATTTGACTCAAATTCTTTCTTTTCCTTCCTCCCTCCATCTCACTGTATTGTCCTGTCTAGCCTGCATCTACTATGTAGTCCAGGCTTCTTCAGACTTGGAGACATCTTGTCTTTGCAGGTGCTGATATTACAGTCATATTGTTGGTTGTTTTTCACTCTTTACTCTTTGCTCTTTGAGGGGCCAGAAACCCAGCTCCCAAATAAATACACGCATGGAGACTTATTCTTACTTATAAATGCCTAGCCTTAGCTTGGCTTGTTTCTTGCCAGCTTTTCTAACTTAAATTATCCCATCTACCTTCTGCCTCTGGGCTTTTATCTTTATCCTGTTTATCCTTCTTTACTTCTTACTCTGGGGCTTGCTGTGTAGCTGGGTGGCTGGACCCTGGAGTCTTCCTCCATCTCTCCTCCTATGTCTCCTTTCCCAGATTTCTCCTTCTATTTATTCTCTTTGCATGCCAGGCCCACCTATCCTTTCTCCTGCCTTGCTGTTGGCTGTTCAGCTCTTTATTAGACCAATCAATACAATGCAATGCCTGTTCTAGGCAGGCAAAGTAACACAACTTCACAGAGTTATACAAATGCAACGTAAAAGAATGCAGCACATCTTTACATCATTTAACAAATGTTCCACAGCAAAAACAAATGTATCACATCTTAACATATTCTACAACACAGTCATGGACCACTGTGTCTGTCTTTAAAACATTTTAATGATGTCATTTGTAATTAGACTTTGGAGAACTGTAGTTTTCTTGTCAAAACCCTGCCTTTATGTTTGTTACAGTTGTGCTAAGTACAAAGAGACTGTTTTGTAGTTGAATATTCTGGATTTTCTTTTTGTGTATCAATCACCTATAATTGGAAATTAGTTCTGAGTGAGGATATGGAAGATTTAACCTTAGTTGAATTCTTCACACATGGAACTGGGCAGGCAGTCATGCTCAGAGTGTAAAAGTCACCCTCTTCCTGTGGTTCTTGCTTTATTACTCATGCCATGTCATAGGCTGCCATTCCTGTCTCAGCTGTGGCTGTGCTGTGCGGTCTTTTCTTAAGTGGATGTGCTTAAAATACTAGTTGTCATCTCTGTGCCTTCGGGGCTGAGCCTCCATCAGGATCCATTGGCAGCTCTCCCACTAATTTAACACCGTGAGCTGCTTCTCCTTCAGAGCTTTTCCCCTGGAGTCCTAGCTGTCCTCTTGGAATTGCTTAACTTTCCAAAGAACACAAGACGGGTCCAAATACGACGAAAGGAGGAGATGTTTCCAGTATATTGTGAAATAGTTATTTAGTGCTGCAATTCACATTTCTCCATAGTAAGCTTTGAAATTCCTGTGCATGTGTTCTTGTGTTTTTCCATCTGTCTTTATATCTGTTTTAAGTGAAAACACTTTCTACCTATATAATTGCCCTGTCACTATTTTTTTTTTTTTTTTTTTTTTTTTTGGTTTTTCGAGACAAGGTTTCTCTGTGTGGCTTTGAGCCTTTCCTGGAACTCACTTGGTAGCCCAGGCTGGCCTCGAACTCACAGAGATCCGCCTGGCTCTGCCTCCCGAGTGCTGGGATTAAAGGCGTGCGCCACCACCGCCCGGCCCACCCTGTCACTATTTTAATAGCCAAGTATTATTTTTGAACACAGAATTACAGATTATATTGGTTTATTCTGTCTTTGTGGTACAGTTTTGAGTTGTGACATTCACCAATACACTGTTGAGAGACATTTTTTTCTAGGTACCAAGAATGCAGGAACATGTTAGGAAGAGTTTCTGTCTTTAAAGAGGTTCATCTCTAGTTAAGTATAGGATTAAAAACTACATAATGGATGCTTAGTGTTACGTGATGACAGACATTTTGCCTTATGTTCATGTAAAAAACATTGAGTGCTGTGTACTTTTATAGTATCTGTAGAACTTTGCTTAAGGCACTTTGCTTTACTGAATTTGTGTTCTAATATAAATGAGAAGTAAATGATTTCCTAAAATTGGGATGCTAGGGACAGGGACGAAAACAGTGTCATCTGGTTTCAGTTCGCCTAGTGCATAGGACATTTACAAAGTATTTACATATAGTAAATACATACAGTACATTGGACAAATTTTTCTGGGATTTGGGAGTTTCCTTTTAGATTGGTGAGTTTTTAGACTTTAAAATCACTGACCTAAATGCCGCATTTAGGGACTGGAGAGATGGCCCAGAGGTTAAGAGCACCTGCTGTGCCAGGCGGTGGTGGCTCGCGCCTTTAATCTCAGCACTTGAGAGGCAGAGCCAGGAGGATCTCTGTGAGTTCGAGGCCAGCTTGGTCTATAGAGTGAGATCCAGGACAGGCACCAAAACTACACAGAGAAACCCTGTCTCGAAACACCGAAAGTAACAGCAACAACAAAAACCTCAAAACTTTTAAAAAAAAAAAAAAGAAAGAAAAAGAAAAAACAACTTGCTGCTTTTGCAAAGGACCCAGGTTCAATTCACAGCTCCCACCTGGTAGCTCACACTCATCTATAACTCCTTTAACACCAGCCACACATGTACACACGTATACCTGCAGGCACTCACACACGAATATATAAAGTAAAAATAAGTCTTTAAAAACTGCATTTAGGGTTTTAGTTTTTTATCTAAATCGGTTTGGGACTTAAGAGATAATCTTTGTTGTAATCAATTATTGTAAAACATACATGCTTAGAAAAAAATGTTTGAAGAGGTTTATCTTTGAGGAAGTAAGTGTAGTTTTTTTTTTCTTTCTTAATTTAATTTTTTTTTTAATACTCTTTGTTCTTTGGGGACCCACCGCCCGGCTCCCAAATAAATACATGGAGACTTATTCTTACTTATGAATTCCTGACCTTTAGCTTGGCTTGTTTCTAGCCAGGTTTGTTTACTTAAATTATTGTTTACTTAAATTATTCCATCTACATTTTGCCTCTGGGCTTTACCTTTCTTTATTCTCTGTCTCTTTCCTTCTTACTCTGTAGCTGGCTGTGTGGCTGGTCACTGGCGCCCTCCTCTCCTCTTCCTTTTCTCGCTCCTCTTCTCTCTCTTCTTCTTCCCTGTTTATCCTCTCTGCCTGCCAGCCCTGCCTATCCCTCTCCTGCCTAGCTATTGACTGTTCAGCTCTTTATTAGGCCATCAGGTGTTTTAGGCAGGCACAGTAACACAGCTTCACAGAGTAAAAGCATGCAACACATCTTTGAATCATCAAACAAACATTCCACACCATAAAAGAATGGAACACATTTTAAGCTAATATTCCACAACAAGTAAGAATTCATTTTACTGTGTTATTTGAATATGTCATAGGAGCCACATAGTTTGAAGGAAGAGTAGAGATTATAAGACCAGTGCTTAACATGGTGTTGGAGATAATTGCTTTCTCTTTATCATTAGAGACCACATAACATCTCATGGCAGCTCATCTCCCCCACTTTAAAACACTAAATACTTGTACACGCTGATGCAGTAGATGTCACAGGTATTGCAGAGTGAAAAATGTGGCTACACATGTGGCCCAGGTTTGAGTTCTGAGAACAGAGGCTTCTAGGGTAAAGAAAGGATAGTATACCCTTTCTTGAGCTCCACGGTCATACATCATAACTAGTAGTAGAGTTAGCTGTTAGCACTTGTTGGAGTATACTGTTTTCCATATGTTGGTGTGTAATAAAGGCCAAGCACAAACTTAGAAAATAATAAAAAGACAAATTCTCAGTGAAGGAATTTCTTATAGGTAAAATCTGTAGAAAAAGGAATTCATGTCATTGGAGTAGAAGGTATGAATAGTAATTATCTTTCTCATTGCTTTGACGAAATACCTTATAAGCAGTTTAAGGGGAAAGCGTTTACATTGCTCATGGTTGGAAAGGTGTAGTCTATCGTGCTGGAAGTGTTGGTGGCTCGAGTGTGAGGCAGCAGGATGGTGCAGTTAGGAAGCAGGGTGCTGAATGCTGCTGCTCAGCTGCCTTTTTCCTTAGTCAGTGCAGGCCATTATTCTGGCCCACAGGAGTAGGGAAGGCCTACCCACCACAGTGAACCCCATCCAGAAACTCCCAAGACATGCTCAAAGGCTGGTTTCCTGTCAAGTTATCACTAGAGTGTTCTTGAGAAGTTTTGTTTTTATTTATTATATTGTAGATTATGAGGCTATATGGTAAAATTAAATGTTTACACATACTGTTTAGTACTATTTATTACAAAAGAAATATTCTTTTTTTTAATGGCGTACCCATGGTCCAGGTGTAAGAATGATAAATGGGGCTGGTTACTGGGTGGAGAGGTCACGAGGCATGGCCACGACTACCCAGTATCAGAACTTTATTAGGAGGAAGAGGGGTGGGGGCAGAAGAACCAGGCCTGGGGAGACGCACATGCAGAGAACAGAGAGAAAGATGCCAATGTAAAAATGATATACAGAGCGCTGGTTACCGTGTAGAGAGGTCACAGTCATGACAGAACTCACTATCAATATCAGAGCTTTATTAGGAGGAAGACAACCAGGCCTGGGGAAGGAGCATGTGCAGAGAGAAAGATGGGGGGGAGAGAGAACGGAACACAGAGAGAGGGTGGGCTCTGCGGCAGGCTTTTAAAGGGTTCCGGGTAAACGTGCGCAGGTGGGCTTACAGAGCTACACCACGCTGATGACCATGCCGAGCATAACACCAGGGGCTTAGCTACATCTAGTGTGGGATATCTGAGGGAAAAAAATCTACATACACTATGTTCTTATGTCTGTTAACTTCATTCCTCTAAGACAGAATTCTATCAACTCAGCTATAGCTCCACCAGGCATTCAAGGCAGGAACAACTCCAGACATACCAAGCTCTATATCCGTCCACTTTATTTCTCTGGGATGAAATCCCGTTTCCATAGCTTCAGTTCCATCCAGTTCCCTAGCTCACAGTCTGCTAATGACTAAACTCCTACGCTTCCAACCCCATCTTCGTCCTCCATGTCTCATTCTCTATTTCCAGTATTCTCTACTCCTGGCACTCAGAAAACTCTACCCGAGATCTGCTTACCCTCTATGGAACCTCTTGTCTTCCTCTCTTCTCTTTTTTCTCTTCCTCTCTGTCTCTTTCTACAGAAAATGCCTGCCCTTTCTTTCCCTGGGCATGTGGTTCTCTGCCTCTTCAGGAATGTTGTTTTCTCTCTCACCTTGATATATAAAAACCTCTTTTGTTCTCATTCAATTGTTCTGGGGAACCACTAGGCCTCCTCCAGGCGAGGGGTTGGTCTGAACTTCATTAGCACAGGAAACAAAGCTATGTGTCTCCTGCCAGCTTGTCTCCTAAGCTCAGCAGGGCAGTTAGTAAATTAGTAGTTCAGCAGGTCTGGGGAGCTGAACTGTTTGTGAATTGGTGTGGGCATGCAAGGATTTCATAGCAGAAGACAGCTGAAATATTAAAGACTGGATATCACCAAATATTCATAATAAATGGCTTGCCTTTCGACAGACCCTAGGCCAGTCAACGTATAGCTTTAATACATAGCTGAATCTCTATAATATATTCTTGGAGCCCGCAAGAGTTTTTGTTTTTTTATTTGGTGGCTGGTTTTGAGACAGAATCTCATTTTGTAGTTCGTGGTAGCCCTAAACCCTCAGCAATCTTTCTGTCTCAGTCTTTTGTGTACTGGGGTTTACAGGACTGATCACCATATTTGGCCTACCAAAGAAAATTTCCCCCAACTTTCTGTTTTGAAATAATTTCAAACTTAGAGGCACATTACAAAATAAGTGTTTCCATTGCTCCCTTTCCACAATAGTCTTACTACATATTATATATATTGTATATAATAAATTATGTATAGCCGTGGATAGTTGCACTTATAATTTTAATACTATTATAAAGCTGAAGTGTTATTGGTAGCAGTATTGTGTATATAGGAGGTGTGTGTATGTGTGTTGCATGCATGTGAATATAGGAATGGATGTATAAGCATGCAGAGACTGTAGCAGGATTTTGGTGGCTTCTCTACTGCTCTTTTCCCTGTTGCATTGAAGTAGGCTCTCTACCTGAACCAGAAACTAGCCTTTTTGGCTAGGCTGGGCAGCCAGCTAGCTCTCAGATACCACCAATCTCTACCCTCCAATGCTGGTTGGTATTACACATACTTTGCATGCCTGGCTTTTCATGTGGGTGTTGACAGTTTACACTCTGGACCTAATGCTTGCAGAGCAAGCATTTACCATCTTTTCTGCTCTGTTAGTTACTTTTCTGTGGCTGAAGAGTCCATGACCAAGGCAACTTAGAAAAGAAAGCATTTAATTGTGGCTTACATGATAGAGGGTGAGTCCTTGGCCATCATGGCAGAGAGCCTGACAGCAGGCAGGCAGGTATGGCACTGGAGCAGTAGTTGAGAGCTTACATCCTGATCTGTGAGTTGGAGGCTAAGAGAGAACATGGAAGGCAGGGCCTTGTGTGGGCTTTTAAAACCTGAGAGCCCTGCCGGGCGGTGGTGGCACACGCCTTTAATCCCAGCACTCGGGAGGCAGACCCAGGCGGATCTCTGTGAGTTCGAGGCCAGCCTGGGCTACCAAGTGAGTTCCAGGAAAAGGCGCAAAGCTACACAGAGAAACCCTGTCTCGAAAAACCAAAAAAAAAAAAAAAAAAAAACCTGAGAGCCCCTTCCAGTGGCACACCTCCTCAAATGCCACACCTCCTAATTCTTCTCAGAAGAGTTCTACAACCTGGGGACCAAACATCCAAATATGAGCCCATGGGGACCATCCTCTTTCAACCCACAGCATCTGCTGGGCAGTCTTCTCTTAAAAATATGGAACTGTGTACGAATTTGCATGCCATCCTTGCACGCAGGCAGTGCTCATCTTCTGTCTGTTGTCCCAGTTTTAACATGTCTTCCCAAAGCTAATGCTTAGAAAAGCTTTGTAATGAAAATATATTGAAGTTACTGCTTTAAATATTGTCTCTTTAAATGTTTAAGGTCATTTGGAATGTTAGTTTTCATCATTTTCATCTCACGGTCAGGCATTGGTCAAAGAAGTAAACTTTACAGTATCTGCAGAGTTGGCTCTGAAATTTGTCAGTGCTAGCTGTGAACCTTGTTTCTTAAAGTGGAAATCATGATACATCACAAGAGTCTTTTAAGGATTAAATGAAGCGGTTGTCGAAGGCACCTGGAGGGTGTTACAGAATATCAATAAATTATTTTTAATAAGCTTAAACATAATATTTTCAGAATACTGAAGTACCAAATTGTTTTGGGCAAGTTAAATATTGCTGTGTGCATTGACTTGGAACTTGTTTTTTATATTTTGCTCTATCCTCCTATCTTACAGTATTGGATGATGAGGATAGCAACAACATCACAGTAGGATCCCTAGTCACAGTGTTGGTTAAATTGACAAGGCAGACGATGGCCGTAAGTAGTTTATTTGTATAATTTATTTACTTATACTTATTATTTTGCAGGCTTATTTGTATATTTGTTGGTTTGTGTGTGAATGCATGTGTTTGCACATAGATGCATATGTATGTATGTGGAGGCTGCATGTCAAAATCTGATGATGCAGTGTTATTTTTCAGATGGTGTCTCTCATTGGCTTCGTATTTGCCAATTTAGTGAGGCTTCCTGGCCAGCTAGTTTCAGAAATCTACTTGTCTCTATCTCCCTAGTACTGGAATTATAAGCATGTGCTGTCCATCATGCCTGGCTGTATTTTTTATTTTTTAAGATTCAGTCATTTTGTATATATGAGTGTTTTGCCTGTCTGTATACATATACACCACGTGAGTGCCTGGTGCCTACAGAGATCAGAAGAGGACATCAGATGCCCTAGATGGTTGTGAAATACCATTTGGGTACTTGGTATTGAACCCAGGTTCTTTGCAAGAGCAACAAATGAGATACCCTTTCTAGGCTCCCAACCCCATACCTTTTTTGTTTGTTTGTTTGTTTTTTGTTTGTTTTCGAGACAGGGTTTCTCTGTGTAGCTTTGGTGCCTGTCCTGGAGCTCGATCTGTAGACCAGGCCGGCCTCGAACTCACAGAGATCTGCCTGCCTCTGCCTCCCAAGTGCTGGGATTAAAGGCGTGCGCCACCGGCGCCGGGCCCCCATACCTTTTAAAACATGGATTCTGGTGATCACACTCAAGCCCTCATGCTTGTGGTGTGGCCAGCACTTCACTGGCTGCACCACCCTCCCAGCTTGGTGGTGGTTTTGTATTTGAGGCAGGGTCTTGCTGTGTACCTACACTGTCCTGTTCCTTCAGCTCAGCCTCCTGAGGGCTGTGGCCACACATCGCGATTTATTTGTAATTGTATTTTTGTGCTTTATGAGTTAATATTTTTATGCTTTTTTTCTCAGTTTAAGTGTGTTCTTAAAACGTGTAACAAGATCTAAATGAACAAGTTCTGTTAGATGTTTTATAATACTAGTTTTCGTGATAGAGTTTTCATAGGCACTAAAAACTAGAAATGGATTAATTTTTCATATGTTTATTGCTAATTGTCTATGATATATTTATGTAAGTATTGTTTTCATACTGTAAAGTGCTGCCTATATAGAGATTATTGTTGATAATTTCAATGCCTCATTTTAGTAAATTCTTTAAAGTTTGTTTTAATTTTCCTCAAAATGTTTAAAAATTACACTAAAAATAACTTTCTGATAATGTGAAAAATTTATGATGTTTGGAAAGAAATTCAAACAGATAGGAAAATATAGGGAAAAACGATGGTTACTCTGAAATCCCACTGCTAATTTCTTGAAATATCCTAATAGATGTGTGCTGTAGAACTAAATGTTTTGAGGTTTGTTTGTTTTGGTTTGTTTTGTTTTATCAAAACCCACTTCTTTCACTGTCCATTATTCCTTATCAGCCTCAGATGGCCTGTTCGTGGTCCTTTTGTATCTTACCTTCATACCCTTTTGGATCTCTGCAGTAAATTTGCATATATACACATACCATGTACATTGGTACTTGTCTTACTCTGTTTAAATACAATTGTATGTAATCTTGCACTTTTCTCTCCATTTCTATTGTGTGTTTGTTATCGGTCCAGTCCATTAGTATTTCATGTGTATGTGCATGTGTACATGCCTGCCGCTGTGTGGCGGATAGAGAACGGCTTGTTGAGTTGGTCCTCCTTCTACCATGTGGGTTCTAGGGATCGAAATCAGTGTCAGGCTTTCCCTGGCGATCCCTGTCACTCATGTTTTTAGTAGACCACTATTTCAACTCATTCAACTCTGGCTTCTACATCTGCACCCCCCATTACTTCAAACAAACAAAGAAAACAAAACCTTAGAGTGCCAATGTGGTGGCACATGCCTTATCCTAGCAACTTGGGTTCAGGAGGCTGAGGCAGGGGGATTGTGGATTCAGGGCAGCTGGGTTATATGATGAGATCCTGTCAAAACCATGAAAACAAACAAAATGGTGGTGCCAGATTATTGGCCTCTTAGTCAGGCTAGCCTGTCTCTTGTGAGCTTAATTGTTTTTTTGTTTTTTTCCTTTTTTGGCTATAATTCAAAGACATTTATTAAGCACAACCTATATCACTTGTCAGTTTCCAGTATGCATTCTTCCTAGGTTCTAAGTGAGCTTTAAATTGTAAATTTATAGTTTTTGTATTGATTCTGATTAAATTGTATGGTTCCTAGATATGTTTTTAGGATATATGGATAATCCACTGATAATAATGAATAAATGTATAGTAGTTCCCTGAAGGTGAAAATTAGAATAATATGATATATTCAAATTCTCATTAAAATATTCTTGCTTGATTGCTATTAGAATAAAATGAAATTTTAAATTGAAATATTTTTGACTTTATAATGAATTTGCATATATTAAGTCATTGAATTTGTTAAGTAGACTGTACTTTTCAAAGTCTGTTTATGATAGCTCTAAGGTACTTCAGAAGGTTGCTCCCTGCATATGTACAGATTTATGACTGCCAAGCAAGACCTTCATGGATAGATGTCTTGGAAGATTTTATGTTTCATCTGAAAGACAAACGTTGACTGATAGATATTTTTGTTGTTCTTGCCTTCAGGAAGTATTTGAAAAGGAGCAGTCCATCTGCGCTGCGGAGGAACAGCCCACGGAAGATGGGGTAACAACTTGAGTTTTCTTACCTTCTTTTCTTGACTTAATTACTGTGGGGTGTAATAGAGTTTATGAGATGAAACAGAGTTCTAGAAATGACTGTTCATCCTTCATAGTCACCTGTGCTTTGCAGCAGAGTGATGCCAGCAAGAACAAGGCCAAAGGAGGATGGCAGCAGAAGAGCAAAGGACCCAAGAAGATGCCCAAGTCCAAAAAGAAGAAGCCTTTGAAAAAAAAGCCCACGGCTCTGCCCTTCCCCCAGGCCAAACAGCAGAAGCAGAAGCAGGCCAATGGAGTTGTTGGGAGTGTAAGTCTGTTGTCACTGTCACTGTTATACTGCGGTGTGGTCTGTGTATATTAAACTGTTCAGATACGGCGACAGCTCCTGAAGTTCACATAGGAAGACGTACATGAAACCCAAGTCAGGATTTGCCCTCCCTTCTTACTCCTCCCTTCCAAATGCTGGAAATTGAACCCAGGGCCTCGTGCACACTAGGAAAGTGCTCTGCCACTGAGCTCTACCCGCTCAAATCAAGATTTAAAAGCTCTGGGCTGAGAGATGGCTCAGTAGTTAAGAGTACCTACTGTTCTTACATAGAACCTGAATTCTATTCCTAGCACCTATGTGGTTCACAACTCCCTGTAACTCCATTTCCAGGGGATCAGTCACCAGTGGTCTCTGCAGGCAACTACACTCATATGTGTACATACCACACACAGATAATAGGCGTATACACACAATTAAAGATAAATACTTTAAAAAAATAATTAAAAACCTTATTAGCGTTCAGGAGAGCTCCTCTATGTCCCTTCATATAGTCAGTGATTCTTCCATTGATTACTTCATCTCTTTACCCCACTACTGTGACTATAGTCACTGTAATTTTACTTACTGATAAACTTCAGATAAACGAAATCATTCTCTAAGATTTATGTATTGAATGTTTTTATCTGTATGTATAAATGTCTTCGCACCATGTGTGTGCCGTGCCCTGAAGAGCCAGATGCAGCCAGAAGAGGCGGATTCCCTGGAACTGGAATTGCAGACGATTGTCAGCTGCTGCATGGGTTCTCTAGAAAAGCAGCAGTCAGTTCTCTTAATTGCTGTGCCATCTCTCTAGCCCTGACATCCCCCACTCAGCCACCTCTGTCCTCCCTCCTCCCTCCCTTCTTTGAGTTTTTGAAACAGGATCTCACTATGTAGCCCTGGCTGGCCTGGAACTCACTATTTAGACCAGGATGGCCTCAAATGTACAGAAATATACCTGCCTCTGCTGGGATTAAAGATGTGTGCTATAATTCCCACTATTTTTTCTTACTTTCTTTTTTAATGCCAGGTATGGTGATGTATACCTTTAGTGAGGTAGGGGCAGATGGATCTCTTGAGATGGAGACTACCCTGGTCTACAGAGCAAGTTCTAGGACAGACAGCCAGGGCTACACAGAGAAAAACCTTTCTCAAAAAACAAACAAAAAAAGAATTATTTGCTGTGTGTGTGTGTGTGTGTGTGTGTGTGTGTGTGTGTGTGTGTGTGTCTGTGTGTGTGTGTCTGTGTGTGTCTGTACGTTCTTGCCCGAGTGCCTGGAGGCTAGAAAAGGGTGTCATATCTTCTAGAGCTGGAGTTACAGGTTGTCATGAACCTCCTCATGTAGAACTGAATTCAGGTCCTCAAGAAGATCAGTACTTGCCCTTACCCTCACACCAACTCTCCAGCCCTAAGTTTTTATATTATGTTTATGGATGTTTTGCCTGTGTGTATGTCTGTGCACTACATGTGTGCCTGGTACTTGTGGAGCCAGAAGAAGGCATTGGATTCCTTGGAATTGGAGTTACAGACATTTGTGAGCAACTTTGAGGGTGATGGGACTCAAACCCAAATCCTCTGCAAAAACAGCCAGTGCTCTTCACTGCTGAGCCGTCTCTCTAGCCTCCCAATATTCCTTTAGAAAAAAAATTAAAAACCATTAATTAATTGATTGTGTGTGCATGTTTGTGACATGTATGGAGATCAGAAGACAGCTTGTAAGTTCTCTCTTTCTACCATGTGGGTCCCAGGGATTGAACTCAGGTCATTAGACTTGGTGACAAACACCTTTACCCACTGCACTGTCTTCCTGACCCCGGCTCAAGGTTTCTTTTATTTGTAGGGATAGTTCAGAGGGAGAGAGACTGCACATACATATTTGGATGCTATTTCATTATATAAATGCACCATTTCTCTGTTCTGTCTGCGTTTGCCATTTTCATCTAACTAAAGGTGCTTCTATAATACACTTTCTGTGCATGGTTTTTTGGTCATTTTCTACACAGCCGTGGGGCTGAGTCATAAATAAGGTAGTTGTGTTTAACTCATCAATAGAGCCGATTTCCAAATTCTACATTTTAAACCAACCCAGCTGAGGGCCAGAGTCCGTTTCCTGTGTTCTCGATTCTACTTGGTTTTCCCTTTTGCTTTGACATTTGGGTGATCTGTAGTGACCTAATGATTTGAGTGTTTTCCATGTCCTTATTGGCCGTTTTGTTCATCTTGCTCATGGGTTGTCGGTATTACGGATTTGATAGGGCCCCGGATGTATTCTGGGTATGGGTTTCTTTCCTTTGCATAGAAAGTGGCTTTTTGGTAGTTATCATTTTAATTAAATCTATTTTAGTTTTATTTTTAAAAATATCTTTTTATAACTGGGCGTGGTGATGCATGCCTTTAATCCCAGCACTTGGTAGCAGAGGCAGGTAGACTCTGAGTTTGGCTGGCTACATACTGACCTGCAGCCAGGCTACATACTGAGATCCAGGCCAGCCACAGCTACATAGCCAGACCTTATCTAAAAAATTTATTTTCTATTTTTTGAGAATTTTATATGTGCATACAGTGTATTTTGATTATAATTATCCACCAGCTCCTCCCAGATCTACTTCAAATTCCTGTCCTTTTTTTATTTTTTTAAACACTAATCAAGTTTGTGCTGTGTGTACTCATGGGTGTGGGACCATCCACAGAGTGGGGTCAACCTGCCCGGGGCCACACCTTAACTGACTTTCATTCCCACAAACCATCATTAACTGTCAATAGCATCTCTGCTAGGGGTGGGGGCTTCATTCTGGTGTGTTTACTAGTTTGATCTTATGCAGGCAACCACAGCAGCAGTGAGTTTATTTTAATATTACCTTCAGCTCTGTGATCTATCTAGAATGAATTTTCATTGATAATGTAAATTATGGAATATTTATTCCAGTATTTATTGAAAGTACAATCCTTCCCTGACAAATTACAGTGGTGTTTTGTTTAGAACAAGCGGTCGTATTGCTTGTCATCTGTCACTCTATAGATGCCATAATCCAGTCTACCTGCTTCTTGTGCCAATGCCACACTAGCTTCATTGTAGATTTCGGTTTTTACACACTGTAGTGTGAGTGCCCCGGCTTGTAAAGTTACTTTCTTAACTGTGTTTCATCCAGCTGACCATTTAGAATGAGTGATAATTTTCACTAGAAAGTAATTACTGAATTTAGATTAGCATTAATTGAATCTATGGTTTGGTATGGGGAATTAATATAGCATTTTTGCTTAGTTCTTGTTTACATTCATTACCTGTCTTTATTAACTTAGAGCTTCTTTAAATTTTCCTAGCAGTAAATGGCAGATGTGGTACATTTGTGCTGCTATGTACTTGATAACTTCTATTGGTGTTAATTTAAATGACAGTTATTTTCATTTTTCAGTGACTACTGCTTTGTAGGAACATAGTAGCTATTTCTTAAAACATTGACCTTGTATGGAGATGTCTTAGTGACTTGACATTGATTTCAACATTTGTAGGTGTTTTAACAAAGATATTCCACATAAGCAATTATGGCCTTTGTGAATAAAGACAATTTTACTCACAAGTTTTGGTTTTTTTCTTTTAAGCCTCTTATGCCCTCCATTTCTGTCTTTTGGCATTTCTTTGCTGGCTAGAACTTTGGTTGTGAATAGTGAAATTCTAATCTTGAGCCAGTTCGGCTCCATATGTACTCTTCAGAGAACAGTCTGTGCTGACTGAAACGGAAAGAACTTCTGTGTTTGCTTGTGTCTTGCAGGAAGCTCCAGCAAAGGAGGAGGACGACGACATCTCTGACAAAGGCAGCGATTCTGAAGAGGAAGAGACCAACAGAGAGTCCCAGAGTGAGAAAGAGGACGGCAGTGACAGGGAGTCTGACAGAGAGCAAGATGAGAAACAAAGCAAGGATGACGAAGCAGTAAGACCTGATGGTCCCCACCCCACTGTGCTGAGGACAGAGCCCAGTACACACCCCAACTCCAGACTGATAGTTTAAATCACTTGGAGCAGGGTTCTGATGATCACGGGAGCTGGTTGTTCATGCCTTTGCTTGTTTACTTGCCTTAAAAACTCATCCATTTTAGAATTTTAGTACTTTAAGAGTGCATTTGTTTTGAGGAATTCCTGTCAGGGATTCTAAGGGAAAATTGTTTGAGACAAGGATTGGAATCCCAGTTGTCTTAAATTTGTTGAAATTACAAAGTGGAGCAGGTTCTGTGTCTGAGTGAGACTAGTTTGACCTCCTAAGGAAATTTTCAGTGATGGAAGGTGTCTGTGGAAATAGGAGTAAGGGAAGGTGTGTGTGAGACAGGAGCAGTCCATGGAAGGTTCTTCCATGGCTTCCAGGTCACACTGAGAAGAAATATCACTGTGGACTTGATTGGAGAGTCAGTTAAAGGGAAAGCTTTTAGAATGTCACCTTGTTTGTGTAAGGTAACTAAGAGTTGATTAAGATGGTGAGGTACACTGTGTGCATCAAATTACACTTGATTTTTGGGAATGATACAGAAAAGAATATGCTGGAGGCTTTTTACAAACGAATTATAAACTGATGGCTCTTTTGACTGGGTTTAATCTAAAAGTAACCCTTGTGGTTTGAGATAGAAAACGTGATCCCCTGAATAGTCTCTGAGGCAGGAGGGGAATCCTGGAAGAAGAAGTAGGGAGTGGAATGCACAGGTATAGGGAGCTCCTGCGCCTACATGTCTGTCCTTGGGAATGGAGAACACAATTGCAGATGAGTTTTTCTTAGTTGCTGGGTCTTGAGTGCTTTTAGACTTAAGAGAATTACAGAGTTGTTTCCTTAGCTCCACTCTAAGAAAGGTTTGCTATGTCGTTTTCTCAGAGGCAAATCAAGGCTTTATAGACAAACTTTTTTTTTTTTTGGGGGGGGGATTTAGGATCTTACCATGTAGCTCTGGCTGTCCTGGAATTTACTGTGTAGACCAGGCTGGCCTTGAACTCAGCGATCCGCCTGCCTCTGCTTCAGTGCTGGGATCAAAGGCTGAACCACTATGCCCAGCTACAGACGAGTTTTTTTTAGAAGACCAAAGATAAATAATTAGCCAACAGATTCATAGTCTACATCCTAAGCATGATTTAGTCCACAAAGTCTAGGACAAATACAAAGTAGCTTTTACCTTTGAACATCCTGGCTGTCAGGGCCAGCAGACTTAAAATAAATGTTGTGGTATGTATAAGAGCTAATCCATGTTATGCAAGCTATAGTCATGGCTTAAAGGTGTGATCAGCTGAGTTCTGAGGTAGAGGAATATTCATGTAGGCTTTCCTTGGGAGTTCATACATTAGGACTTCACTGTCCTGCAAGAACCAGGAGGAGGAGGTTATAAGACTGGGGTGTGAACAGAAACCCACAGAGGGTTGAGGGCATGTGCAATGGTTTGGTGACTTCAGAGACGTGTAGGTAGTTGTGATGACAAGAATACAAAGGACAAGGAAGAAAGCCGTGGTGTAGGCTCAGGGTCAGATCTCAACAGTGGTGCCAGCATGCTATGGGGCTTAGAGACCCAGTTAAGTTCATGCCAGACAAGGATGAGATTTGTGGAAAGGAACTTCTGATCCTCAGTAGCTGCTTGGCGTTTTCAAAAGTAAAAGCTGAAACCCCTCTGAATGGTGTCTGCACCATACCAGATTTCAAGTATTCTGTTCTTTTTCTCCTAGGAGTGGCAAGAATTACAACAGAGCATACAGAGAAAAGAGAGGGCTCTCCTGGAAACCAAGTCAAAGATCACACACCCTGTGTATAGTCTTTACTTTCCCGAGGTGAGCTGCACCCAGCCTGGTGATTCATTATTCCGTTTCTTCTTTCCATGTATTTCTCATTGGATTTTATTGCTGCAAAGTGTAATAACTGGTTTATTTTTGATAGGTCATTATCTGAGTTAGGGTTTATTGCTGTGAAGAGATACCATGATCACAGCAACTCTTATAAAGGAAAGCTTACAGTTCAGAGGTTTAGTCCACTGTCATCATGGCAGGTGGCATGGCAGTGTGCAGGCAGACATGGTGCTGGAAAAGGAGCTGAGAGTTCTACATCTGGATCAGCAGGCAGCAGGAAGTGAATAGGGTTGAGCTTCTGAGGAGCCCACCCCCACAGTGACACACTTCCTTCAACAAGGCCACACCTGCTTTAACAAGGCTGCACCTCCTAATGATGGCACTCCCTATAGATCAATTATTCAAACACATGAGTCTATGGGGTCATATCTATTCAAACCCACCACAGTTACCCTCATATCATAGTAAAGGATATATTGTAACATGAATTACCTTCTGTGAATATGTTGTTTACAGGGGGATAAACTTTTTAAGTTTATATGATTTCCTATGCTTCTTTCATCTCTGCTCCTCTTACTGAGTGTTGTGTTTAATGGCTATTTGCATTTAGTAGTGAGAAGAGGCTTTATAAGTTGAATGCAGTATTTTGACTTTGGTGACTTGGCTGTTCTGAGTCGTTTACCCCCATGAAGTTCTAAATAAAATGAAAGATTCTTCTCTCTGAGGGTTCCTTACTAGCTCCTTGGCACCACCAAACTTGTTTTTGACCCCAGGAACTATCATCATCGTTTGTGGAGTGTATGAGCCCATGGGTGGTAGTTATGGGACCAGCTCCTTTGGGCTCTGAACAAAGTTGGGCAAGAACTGAGCAATACCCAAACTGAGGACCCGAGTATCACAGTGCCATCTGTGCCATTGTACTGCTCACTTTTTAATGGCCTGGCTCACTCTGTTGTTGGTCTGGAAATGACTTTAGAATTCCTTTGACATTTTGCTTTTGAAGATGATTGTGTCTTGGAGCTGAGATCAAATGCTGGTTCCTCTAGTTCATGGAAACTGATCCACGGCCTGCTTCACAGCTTTGCCACAGAGCCTTCCGCTCTCCTCGTGCTTGGCCAGTGGGTTAATGTATACAGTCTGCTTTGTGTTTGAGAATATCAGTCCAAAGATTTGGGGGCCTTCTAAGTCCAAGTCCTAAATGACTTAGCTTTCCTAGCAAAAAGTAAGTGACTTTGCACAGATTGTTGTTTGGACTTGGAGTAAAGTCGACCCAGGGTTCCATCTTAATATTCGTGCTGATCTTCTGACATGGCTTATGTTTTAACCCATCTGTTAGGGGCATTTTGCCCATTGAAGTGATAGCCTGCCAACACCAGGCATCCTGAAACCAAGCAAGTAAGTTCTGCGTGTTGATTGGTTTTAAAAATAAAAAATAAAAAAAAAGTGTGGGATGAGGTAAACACTCATCCTACATAATTGGTTCCCATGTAACTTACAGTATCATTTTAGATCATGCTTAGTTAATAAGCAAAGCATTGACTCCCTTGTTTTATCCTCAGAAATGCCTTTTCCTACTGTAGTCTGAACCTCATGGTCAGCATTTGAAACTCATGATCTGTGTGCCATATGTGGTCTACAATAGCAATGATTGTAGCCCAACACAAAATCATAAACTTAAAACATTGAAGGGTTTTTGTAATTTATTTATTTGTTTATTTATTTTTTGTAGTGTGAGTTTTATAGGTGATAATGTTGTTTTACAGTGTAAAAAGGTTGAGCATGCAGGCCAAGTCTAGTTGCCTGCCCCCTTATCTCCTAAAGGTCTCACCATGTGGCCCTGGCTGGTTTTGAACTCACACAGGTTCATCTGCTTCTGCCTCTCTAGTGCTGAGATTAAAGGCATATGCCACCACGCCTGCAGCCTGCCTGCTTTTGCACATGATGCTATTCGTGAACAAAGTCTATTTGAGCATAGCTTTATTCATTCTTTTCTCACTGCAACAGCAGATCTGAACACCCGCAAAAGTCTCCATTAATATTGAATGTTGAGATTGTAGGTTTGTATAAACTGTGTATACATGGAACACACACACACACACACACACACACACACACACACACACACACCATCTATCATCCTGTAGCCTCATCAATCCTCAAGTTAAGCAGAACTGAATTTTTTTTTATTAGAAGCTGCTCTCCTCATTGCACATTTGTGATTTACATATTAGCCTTATTCATGCTAATTCATGCTAAGTGCTTTGTGGCCTATGGTATTTAACAGAAGAGCTTTTAGTTGAGTCTAAAGTAGCATTATTAAACAGATACACAAAGTAATCATGGAAAAGACAGAAGGGTCAGTCAGATGAGTCAGCAAGTACATGCACCTCCTACCAGCCCTGCTGACCTGAGCGCCAACTCTGGGATCCACATGATGGAAGGGAGAGGACTGACTCCACTGGTTGTCCTCTGACCTCCACACATGTGTCATAGCACACATACACCAACATACATGGAAACATAAATATGTAAACATTTAAAAAATAATAAGATAACCAAGCACGAAAAAATGTTACCAAGCCACCTTAAAGTGTAAAATAAAATGGAAAGGGTATTGGTTTGGGTTTAAAAATAGAAATATTTCCCAGAGAAATGATTTCAATAGAATTTTTTTTCTCTTTTCTTCCTTTTTAAAAAAAATAAAATAAAAAAACCCAGGATATCTTTGTGCCTAACGATAGATTTTCTTTTCTTTTTTAAGTGTTGGAAAATTGAGAGTTTAGGATAGGATATCGCTATTTTGGCTAAATGTATATTTAGCACATCCTGGAGTTTATTTTTAGCTTCCAACATTTTTCTTTAAAACATGATATCTTCCCTACTCAGTCTTTAGAACAGGTGATACTAAGCATGTGTCTAGCAGTGGTTCACTAATGGGAAATGTAGCATAGTGAGGTTCTGGGCACACTGAGCCTTAGTGCATGCAGACTGCTAGGCCTTGTGTTTATAAATAAAATCATTTCCTGCCTTTGTTCTGTCATTTCTAATTCCCAGCTCTCATTGTGTATTGTAGTGAGCTTCTTGTTCCGATCTTTCAGAAGTTCAGCTAGAAATGCTGACCTTCTTAAAATAGTAGTGTGCAATGAAAGATGAATATAAGCTCTTAAGATCTGAGGTGTTCTCTTTAAGTGTAAAGTGTTTAATGCATTGGTATTTTTTTTTTTTTTTTTTGGTTTTTCGAGACAGGGTTTCTCTGTGTAGCTTTGCGCCTGTCCTGGAACTCACTTGGTAGCCCAGGCTGGCCTCGAACTCACAGAGATCCGCCTGGCTCTGCCTCCCGAGTGCTGGGATTAAAGGCGTGCGCCACCACCGCCCGGCCCAATGCATTGGTATTTTTGTTGGGCTGCCCAAGTAAGTCCCTTCCACTCAGTAGAAGTGTCTATCACTAGGTAGAATAACTGGTTTTTGTGTATGATGTACTTTATTGTTTTCCCTTTTTAGAATATCATTTATCATTTTAAAGTAAATCACAGATTTTTAATATTGAGAACCATTAATAGGCTTAATTCAAGTTGTTGAAACTCCAAAAGTTATATGTAGAGTTACTTGGGGAATAGTGAATGTATCTTGCAGTGGGTTTGTCCATCTGCTAGGCACTGTATCAGTACTGAAGATGTAGCACTGACCAGGACAAGGATAGCATCTCTAAGACAAGTGAAAGCTGCTTCTCCAGTCCTTTCTGACAACTCATACTCTTTTTCTTCTTTGCAGGAAAAACAAGAGTGGTGGTGGCTTTATATTGCAGATAGGAAAGAACAGACATTAATATCCATGCCGTATCATGTATGTACACTGAAGGATACGGAAGAGGTAATTAACCAACAACACTTCTCTTTTAATATCTTAACCTTATGATGCTTCATTGAAATTCTGTTGGTTTTCCTGGAACTCGCTTTGTAGACCAGGCTGACCTCTAACTCACAGAGATCCACCAACCTCTGCCTCCCAGGTGCTTAGATCAAAACCATGCTCCACCACCGCCCAGCTTCATTAAATTTTTATTAATTCAACTTTTTGTATTTTTGCTCATTGTATTTGTTTGTTTTTTGTTGCAGTTAACTTCAAACTCCCTATGTAGCTGACACTGGCTTTGAATTCCTGATCCTTCTACCTCTATTTCCCAAGTTTTGGGATTACAGACTTGCATTACCATACCTGGCAACTTACTGTAGGCGGAAGTTTCTGTCCCACCTGCCAATTCCCAAATGACCAACAGGGAGATTCAATATTAATTACAAAGGCTTGGCCTATAGCCCAGACCTGTTACTAACTAGCTCTTACAGTTACTAATAGCTCTTACAACGTAAATTAACCCATTTCTATTAATCTATATATTGCCACGTAGCTTGAGGTTTTCCCTGTCCTCCAGCATGTTTTGCTCCCTCTGTGTCTCTTGGAAACTCCACTGACGCCACCCTTCTTCCTCCCAGTATTTCAGTTTGGCTGTCCCACCTATACTTCCTGCGTGGTTACTGGCCAGTCAGTTCTTTATTAACCAATGAGAGTAATGCATATTCACAGTGTACAGATGAATTATTCCACAGCAACTTAGATGCTGTTTGTTCTAAGACATTTTATAATTATTATCTGATATTTTAGGATGAGTCATTTGAAATCACTAAAGAACTGTAGAAGGTAGGCAACTTGGTCAGTCTGTTGAAAACGTTTTGAGGTAGTTTCCCCCATCACTGTCTACAAACATAAGCCTCTATGTCTACTCTCCAGACTCTAATGATATTATACCTAAAAAGTCAAAATTTTTTTGTTGTTATTGGATTATTGCTAAGTAGACTATACTTTGTCTTGAAAATTCCAAGAACTGATAATTTACTGTTTTAGAATAGAGGGTTTTTTTTTTAAATTATTTTATTATGTGCCATTAATTACTGCCTTTTTCTTTCTTTTTTGTTTTGTTTTTGTTTGTTTGTGGTTCAGTGGTTAAGAGTAAATGCTGCTCTTATAGAGGATCTAGGTTGGGTTCCCAGCACTCACCTAAGGGGCTCATGCTAGCCTCTAACTTTAGTTCTAGAGTATCTGGTGGCCTTTCCAGGTACTTGCACTCACGTGTATCTGTACACACACAAGCACACCTAATTTAGAAGGAAAATAATTTTTTTTAATTTTTTTTTAAGGGAGGGAGGATTAATTTCAGAAAGTTCATCCATGTTTGGCAATGTCTCTAGTTCCTTGGCAAGCACACTTGTTCATCTAATGGCAGCCATGATGGGGAGAGACTAGGGAAGGGCCAAAGACAAGAGGTAGTTCTCATAGGCCTGCCCTTCCTATGACCTACTTTCTCTAGCCAAGGCTCATCTCCTGTAGCCCATCACTTTCCAATAATGTCATCAAATTATGTTGCCATCAAAGATAAATCTTTCATTGCATCATAGCTCTCAAGTTTGAGACACACCCAGAAATGTGCTTTACTATTCTAGGTATTTCTAAGTTCAGTCAATTCAAGATTGAATGCCATAATGGCATTGTGATGAAGAATTGCTTAGTCATTATGCTATGTTTACTCTCAGGATCTGTAGTCTGTTGTACTTAGTGTGTGTGTTCTTCTGTCAGCTTGGACTTAGTGGACAAATTTCAAGATTGTTGTAGATATTGACTGTATTAGTCAGGGTTCTGTAGAGGAAAGAATTGATAGAATGAATGAGAGGGAGAGACAGTGTGAAGGGGATGGGGGGGCTTATAGGCTGTGGTCCAGCTAGTCCAAGAATCCAATAGTTGTTCAGTCCATAAAGCTGTATGTCTCAGCTGGTCTTCAGTATATGTTGGACTCCCAAAGAAGTAGGCTCTAATGCCAGTGGAGGAATTCCTTAGCAACCAGATACATGAACTTGACAATGAGAATGACAACAAAAATGAGGCTAAAAAGCAAAAACTGCTTTCCTTCATGTCCTTTATATAGGCTACCACCAGAAGGTGTAGCACTACAATGCCCAGACTTTTTTTTTAAATGGCCTTTATTAATATTATAACGTTGACTGCAAAAATCTGGAATTTGGAGATTAGAGGCAGAATACTAGAGCGTGAAAATGTCATTTTGAAGAATGTATTCTTATGCTCATATAGAATTGAAATCTCTAAATATGTTACTATTTGTACTTATGTTTATGATTTGATGGAAAGTAAAGTACTGTTTTGGACTTGTTTTTGTATAGTTTCCTGTAATTTATATTTTATTTTTCTGCAATGATTAGATGTTAGGGTGGTAAAGAGCCTTATTAAAACTAATAAATTATTTATTGAAATATAATGGAGTAAAAATATGTAATTCTTTTAAAATTTGTTTTTATATTTTGAGTTTCATATATGAATATAATGAATTTTAGTTGTTTTTAATCTCTCCATTGTCCCCTCTGATTTCTTCCCTTGCCCTCTGAAACCCTTTTCGTAGTGTGTGTGTGTGTGTGTGTGTGTGTGTGTTCCCACTGGGTTTCATTAGGATGCTTGCATGAGCATGGGTGGGAGGCTATTGACTGGAGTGTAGGCAACTTTAACCACTGAAAAAATGACACCCTTGCCCCCCAGCAACTATTACCTGCCAACATTCCCTCGGGTTGTGGGGCCTTGCTGAAGTCTCGTTTGGGGAAGGTGATCACTGCTGCAGTGGGTGGGGAGTCTAGTGGCTGTAGTGGCTGTCATCCTCGAGACTTCTTTGTACAGCTTGCCTCCCCCTCTGGCCCTTAGATTCTTCCTGCCCCTTCTGCTCTGAGCCTTGAAGGGTCTTTCTGGGTTGTTAAGGCATAGATAATTTATCCTGGAAATAAGAGAATTTGGCAGGAATTACTTTTTATGTAGCCAAGTCTATTATTTAATTACATTTCATTTAGTTATACTTTCATTCTTTGCTTAATTTCTTTTGAGTTTTCAAGGGGACAGCATAGAATTTGGTTACTTTAATAGGCTTTCTTGAATTGTATACATAGAAATGAACCTCAGTAGTTCTGCTTAACTTGATTTCCTTTTTGTTTTGTGTATATAATAGATAAAAGAGAGCTCACACATGTTTGTTATTGTGAGAGTTTCTGTAAATCATCTGAGGCACTACCAGGCTCCTAAGTACTCTGAGGTGGGAAGTTTAAAGGCATTCTGTTGTTTCTTTTACTTAATACAGACTTTTAAGTGTTGATTTTATCTTCTTAGGTAGAACTGAAGTTTCCTGCACCAGGCAAGCCTGGAAATTATCAGTATACAGTGTTTCTGAGATCAGACTCCTATATGGGTTTGGATCAGATTAAAGCACTGAAGGTAAGAATCGTGAGGAATAAATGACTTGGAGTTCCTGGAGATAGGAGTCTAGTAACCCTTGAGCAATGCCTGAGGAAGGTGTGGGAAGCAGCTCCAGTTTTGAGATGGAGAGTAATGGGAGGAAGAAGCAGGCGCTCAGTAATAGTTAGACTTTCAGGCACTTTGAACCTCAACTCTAAGTTCCTTTGGTGGTTGCTTTAATGTGCTGTAATATGTGGTACATTTCAGGGCTCTACCAAATGTGTTCTGTTTCCTTTAAAAAGGCTGGAGGGGGTGGGGAGCAGGATGCAGATTTTTACCACAGACTTTATTGGTATGTTTATAGATTTCTGAAATGAAGGTGTTTGTTTGTTTTTTTAATCATCTTGGAGCAGAAACTTTGTATATGGCTTGAAGCACACTTAGTGTCCATTTCCCTTGAGCTTTTCACACAAGGCATTCTATTACATTAGTGAGATTGAACAAAATCATGCTTACACTGTTAGAGTCAAGGAGCCGGTAAAGGGGAGTCACTATTTCCTGCATTGACCATGGAGTTTTCCTTAACAACTAATCCTTGGGAAGCAGACTTGAATTTTTCTTCCTTCAGCCAAAGACTTGTAATAAGACACCACTCAGTATTGTTGCATAGGAAACATGACACTAGTTAGTACTTTGTGCCAGAGAAGTACATTCTTAAATGGTTCAACTTCTACAGGGTCAAAATACCAAATTATATTAGAAATCTATCTCCATTTCTGTGTAAGTGGGTTTAGTATTTTCATTTGTAGAATGGAGTATCTTTTTAATGAATGTGCTGAATTTAGAGTTGAAGCAGCAGAATCCATTTCTTTGTGATTTGCGATGGCAAAAGAAAACCTTTACCAGGCATTTCTTACAGTATTCCTTTACAGATCTCTGATGTGCATTTAATTCTCCTTTATAGCTGGAAGTTCATGAGGCCAAGCCTGTGCCAGAAAACCACCCACAGTGGGATACAGCAATAGAAGGTGATGAAGACCAGGAAGACAGTGAGGGATTTGAAGATAGCTTTGAGGAAGAGGAGGAGGAAGAGGAAGGTGATAACTAACCAGTGTATGCGTGGACCACAGCGTTTGCACATACTTGCAAACATCTGCTGCTTTGTAAATTATAATAAAGAAGAAGCAGTGGAGAACTGATGCAGTGGGAAGTGTTGGTATCTTTACTAGAAATGGATACATCATATAGGCAGTTGGTGGTGCCGTGGTACAGTCTGAAAGGGCTTCTTTAAAGCCTTTCAGGTATGGGGTGGTGCGATCATATCATCTGCAATTGATAATAAATCCTTCGTTGTTAAAACTGTCCAGAAGCGTGGGCTGTGCATTACCTGATCAGTTTACGGTCTCAGTCAGAGTCAAGGTACATGAAAAACAGTCTTTGTTCAGCTTTAGTTTTAGTGAACATTAAAATATGATAAACATCACAAATATGTTTTAAGTAACATCTGCTCAAGTTTTTAATCTGTTAATCAGCTCTGTTACTCATTTATCAATATTTTACAAATGGTAAGATTGTAATAGTTCCATACATGAGTTCAAACCTTTATTTTCATCTGTCTTGGCCATAACTTAACATTCTCACACATTCCACACAAAACAGAGGGCTACATTTTGGAATTTTCCGTTCTTAATTGCCCAGAGTTAGCAGACATTACAAAAGTGGCTTTTAATGGCTTAAGGCCTCTTAAAACCTCTGTTGGTGTCTGCACAAAATCTAATTCTTCTGATAAGCTCAGGGCTGAAAGGGATTGTGGGACCACCCGTTCTCTGATGCTTGGGTCATGTTATCCAGTCTTTTGAAAAGGGTTACTAGAAAAGCTGGACTACATACATTCTTAGCTTTTAATCTACCTGACTTCAGAAGCCTTTTAAAGAAAATAAATACAGCATACAAAGGAGGCATTTTTTGTATTCATTTTGGACTCCTGTTAATAAAATAGAAGTTTGACTCATTTTATGTTTGTAATTGTGTTTGTCTTTTTACTCCTAGAGAAAGGGCATAAATAGGGTAATCTTTTATTTTTCAACTAAAAGTTTAATATTGTACCTCACTGTGGAAGTGACTGCTCTCTCTGTATACTCTTGGAAAACCCAGGAGGAAGAGCTATTTTCTCTCATCTAGTACAACCTAAAGGGCAGTGCTCAACATAGAGTAAATGTGTGTGTGATGAGTCACTGAGGTAAGAGGAATATTTTTATTACTAGATATGGAGGACACACAAGTCTACAATACTATAAGACTGATTGCAATAATCCTATCAAACTCTCCATAGGCCAAAGTACTGTTGCAATACTAACTTATGTTTATTTAAAAGGTTGCTACTCTTCATGCAGAATTATCACTGGTATTTTGTTACTACAGTAGTTGGAAATAAAATTTGAAGATTACCAAAAATATGAATTTTTTGTTGTTCTAAATTTAAGATGTAACACTGAACAGTTGAAGTGTCCATTAGACCCTTGCTTACCCTTGCTGTGCTGAGGGTTTGATTCATTTGTTTCTATATGTAAGGGGTGGGTTTGCCTTTCAAATCAGATCTTACTGGAAAGCTCCAGTGTTGAGTGTAGTTGCTAGACATGTCAGTGTGAGGGAGTGAGCAGCTGTGTCGGGAAAGGAGAGGCCCCAGGAGACTGGACAAGCAGACTTGTAGTCTTTGCAGTCCCTAGCTTGGCTGAAGTAGATGGCTTGAGAAGAGTTCTCTAGTGGCTGTTTTCCCTCTGAAGGGTGTACACAGTTCATTCAAACAACTGGCTTCTCTAGTTTGAGATGCTCAGCACTGTGCTTACAAAACAGCATGTCTTCCATGATTGGAAATCCCAACAATTCGCTGATGTTTGCCTATTTTGTGATGTGTCAACATCCCAACCTAAAGAACCAGTTTTCCTCTAACCAGGTATCTTAGGTGAAAGACCTCAGTTACGGTGTACATCTCTACTCAGTCACCAAACTCCACATTCCTTCTTTCTCTACTACGGAATTAATGACTTGTCCTGGTTTGCATTTAGTTGAAAGGAAAGTTTTAAATGTTTGTTTTTACTCCTATTCAAAACATTGACATTCTGTCACTAAATGAATATATAGATGAAAACACAGTATGTACATACAGAGTGAAATTGATTATATGAAATTAAGTTATTTACATTGTGTAATATTTTTAATCTCTAAATTTGCAAAGTATCCATCAAAATACAGCCTTCCACAAGGAGACTTAACTACCAGGTAAAAGTGTGGCAGGTGCAAAGGTTAGCATTGTAAGACCTGACGGAGGGCTCAGACTCAAAATTAGTTAGATGTTTATTTATGTTCTCTAAAATTTGTGGTATTTGAGATGAATTGAGCACATTGAATGCGATTCTGCACATGGAGCAATCTCTTGTTCTCTGCTTTGCCTTTGCCAGCATGCACTGAGGGGTGGAGAAGGACAGGCTGTTGAGTGGTACCCTTCTACTGTTTGCTGGAAAGCTCAGGTCCTATAGAGGTGTAGGAGTAGAATGCCAACCCCCGATGTGGAACTAGGGAGTGCATGTTAAGGATGTATTGAGGCTTTCTTAGCATGTTCTGGTTTTGTTTTTGTGTTTTTGAGACAGAGCCTCACTATATAGCCTAGGTTGGCCTTGAACACACAGTGTATGTAGCCCAGGTCGTGAACCTTGTGATCCTCCAGCCTCAGCCTCTTGAGTGAGTGATAGGATTACAGGCGAGAGCCACCACACCTGGTGTTGAACACATTTACTACATTTATTCAGGTATCTGCTCCAGCTAGCTCCTACCATACACTGGAGTGTTGTTCAGTAATAATCTGTATTTCAAATGCACTTCGGTACCTACATGTTTTTGACAGATTGTTTATCATGTATTTACTGAGTTTCCATGTCCAGGCTCTGTGACTTAGGCACTATAGCTATGTGGACCCTCTTTGTGTTAAAACTTACTTGGATTGGGTCAGGACATAGGTGGGAATACATTTTAATCTTTTTCCTTTGGCACAGTGGCCAATATTTAGAATGCCCCCCCCCATCTTTTCACTAGGCAGAGGAATAATTATTATCACTACTACTGCTATTATTATTATAGGGACTAGCTATTGAATTAGTTGGCCTTTGTCCATCCCCTTTGGATAAAACAAGAGTCGTCCTTTGTTTTTAAATGCTTCTTTTTTGAAGCATTTTCTCAACTCTGTGAATCCCCTATTTAGTCTGCCTTAAAGTGGAACAACTATCGGTGAACTGGAGCATGCCATTCTACCAGCTGTGCAGTGATTAGTTCAAGTGTGTCCCAAGAAGTTAGCATCATCATACACTTAAACTTGACACTAGGGCTATTTACAGACCTTAACAAACAAAACAGGCGTGATCTTGTACATTTTCCTGTAACTGAGCTAAAAATCCAAATAACAATCATGGATATGCTTTAGGACTGGTTTCAGGCAGGTGTGTACATCCCAGGGGTATACAGATAATAAGTCCATTGAGAAAATGTTAAAATAATGATTCTTTGTATTTAATCTCATCCTTTTAAATTTCTATTTTTGTGTGTTTTATAATGTACATAATATATTGTACAGTTGTACACTTATATAATTTATAAATAAATAATACATTTATTGGTGCACTATATTTTTTTTTCTGATTTGGGTGCATGATGAAAACATTTGGATACTACTATTTTGTGGTATAGATAGGGTGACATTTCAACTAACTGGAAGTTGGGGCTTTGGCACTCTGCCATTTGAGATGACAATGACATACTCTGATACCAGGAGGCAAGGTTGCATTTGCTGTGTCCACATCTGCTGTGGCCCCCAAGAGCAAAGACGGTGGATGCTTCTTGCAGTGTAGCCATAGAGAGGGGGAATGCTGTAACTCTTAGGAGCTGTTCAGTAGCCGCTGCAATTAAAGAGCAAAAGGAGCCCAAACCATGCCTAATGGCGTCAGTGGCCACCACTTGGGTGTAAGCAGATTGTAAACAGCACACACAGCTTTCCCTGTACTTTTCAGCCTGGTTCCAGTAGAGGGCGACAGGACCATAATTAATTTTCTTTAAAGAATGTTTGGTGGAACTATACCAAAACATCAAAAATGAATTTTTATTTTATTTTATTTTTGCAATGGGCTGTTTACATGTTCTCAGCCATGCCTCAAATTCCTGAACTCATAATCCTCCTTAAGTCTCTTGAGCAGCCAGGACTATAGGCTGTTGCACTGCTGTGCCCAGCTAAGAAATGTTTTCTGGATTCTCTGCACCTCCTAGAATTACCTCCTCCTTCTCTGTACCTCCTAGAATTACCTCCTCCTTCTCTGTACCTCCTAGAATTACCTCCTCCTCTGAACTTCTGTACCCACTCCCCACCAACCCTTATCTCCTTACCTGTGTACTTCACTGCATTAATGTGCATCTGGTTGGAAGGCAAACGATTTATAGCAAGCTCCAGAGACTGTGCTGTGAATCCACTGTGCTAGAACCACGGGAGACTCCTGGAGAGAAGTGGCAGTCAGGTAAGAGGACACTCTAGAACCACGGAAGACTCCTGGAGAGAAGTGGCAGTCAGGTAAGCGGACGCTCTAGAACCACGGGAGACTCCTGGAGAGACGTGGCAGTCAGGTAAGAGGATGCTCTAGAACCATGGAAGACTCCTGGAAAGAAGTGGCAGTCAGGTAAGAGGATGCTCTAGAACCACGGGAGACTCCTGGAGAGAAGTGGCAGTCAGGTAAGCGGACGCTCTAGAACCACAGAAGACTCCTGGAGAGAAGTGGCAGTCAGGTAAGAGGATATGTGAGACCAAAATGAGCCATCTTAGAAATAAGACCAAAATACTTTCACCCTAAAACTAAGGCCTAAGATTTCTCCTTTTAGGTATAGGCCATGAGTTACTGAAACCAGTCAATCCAGAGTCCAGAAACCAGGAAGTGTAAAAGTACAGAGTCACAAGGTAGTCACGAGGTAATGACTGCCGGACTATGGAATGTCCTCTCCTTGGTTCCCTAGGTAACTGTTTGACCAAAGAATGTTCCAACCTTGGTTTCCAGGGTAACTGAAATGTCCCCACCTGAGGGCAGCCAATGAGAAATGGTGGCGGGCAACCACCCCCTTAGAAATAAGTTAAGCCATGATTTCTAGAAAGTCCCTAGAAGCGAGCCAATCAGAATTGTACCCATACTAGCACCCCTAAATGATGTAACCTTGTGCTTTTTGCCTTTAAAAACTGAGCTTGCAGAAAGGCGGGCACTTCCTCCAGCCTCCACTGCGTTGGATCTGTTGGATGAAGTCCCTGCCTAGGCTTGTATTGCTTTTGGATATCCCAGAATTAAACCTTGACCTTGTGTACATCCTACTTCACAAATGAGTCTGTGAGATACGCTAAGCCTGTAGGCTGAAGATGATGCCCCAACACTGCGGAGAAACCTCAGGTGACTGTCCAGGCAGCTGGCTGTTTCTGTCAACTCACAATTTTTTTTTTTGGAAGCTGCTTGCATGCACTTCCTGTTTTTATTTTTGTTAGGTAATATTATTTCCTTCTTGGGTCTCTGAGGGAGTTGAAGATTAATTAGTTATAGTTGAAGATTAGTTAGGATAAAAAGTGAATTAGGTACATTTTGGACTTACCAAAATAGGATAGGTAATGGAATTATTTTCTCTGAATTTGTCAAATACAAATGGACTAGACATTGTTTAGGTATTTATTACTTGTATATATTGTATGTAGTTATTGTACTTTTGTATATAGTTTTTCTTATGTTAGTTATAACCTTTTTTCTTTTTATTAAAATAGAAAAGGGGAAATATGGTGATCCATTCCGACATGCTTGTCTTTGGTTGTTTCTCTGGAGGTCACGATCTGGGCACAACAGATGCTCTTCATACAATTCAATTTTTTGTATGATTTCAGCTATGAAGGGTCTGCTGTTTTTCTCTGTGCAAGCTAAGCTGCCACATTGTCTGGGTTGCTAGCTCTGACTCCCAGGTCAGGTACAACATCAGCTTTGCATTACTCACATTGCTCCTTATCCTCCAAGTTTCACGTAGGTGATGCCAAGTGGCTTGGGTAGCTGTTACTCATGTCAACAGAGGAACTTTGAGCTTGAGAATCTAGCCCTTGAAAAAGGTGTGTGACAAACCTGTTCACTTTTTTTTTTTCGAGACAGGGTTTCTCCATGTAGTTTTGGTGCCTGTTCTGGAACTCACTCTGTAGACCAGGCTGGCCTCTTGAACTCACAGAGATCCGCCTGGCTCTGCCTCCCGAGTGCTGGGATCAAAGGCGTGCACCACCACCGCCCAGCCTCACTCTTTACTGTTGGAACAGCAAACATGCCCTCTCGGTGAAGGAAATGATGCCTGTCTTCCATGGCTCTTGTCCGGACACACATCTGTGAGGAGGCAGTGTGGAATTAAAGTGTGCGTGTGTGCACTCGAAGGTATGCAGAAAGGGAAGAAACAAGTGGGCAGCGGCTTTCCTGCACAGGGAATTTTGTATGCACAGAGATATTACACCAAGAGGATCGGGCACTTCAGGGGAGTAAGTTCTTAGTAAAAAAATAAATAACTCCTCACTTGAGAATTGTACATTTATGCCTCTTGCAAATGTTTTGTCTTACTAACAAGGATAGTTTTGTTTCAGTTTGAAGATAATTCACTTACATGCAGTCACTAAAAATATCCAGAACTTTGTAAATTGAATTCAGTCTGTTACAGTCAGAAAGGGGGTGTCTGAAAGGTGAGCATTGTATCTGTTGTATATAGTAGCCATACACGCTTTTGATTATTGCCGTCTGCACCCTTCCCTAGCACCCTGCTAGGTTGGTGTTAGGCCTCTGGTTGGAATCATCGAGGAGCTTTTGAAATCCTGTTCTGACAAGCATCACTAGTTCTCACTGTCCAGTGAGGTAGATTGCTTGTTGTCTTTAGCTGTCTGACGCCTCACCTAGAGATACTGGAGATACTACAGATGTGGAGCGAGGGCGACCAAATTTGCTGATGAGCGTTTTGATCAGGAAAAAAATGCATGTGATGAATTCAGTGAAGGACTAGAATTTCTGGTCTTTGAAGCAGGTTGGAGGATTCCCAGGGGAATGTGACATCTAGTAAGAGGACTGGGGTAACTTAGCTCCTGCATTTATGTGCACCACTACCCTTTGTCCCTGTGTTGTTAAACCATCCTACTTCATAATCACATCCACAGTTTCTCCAGCTTCTTAATGTCTTAATTCTCTGCCACGTTCTTGGGACTCAGTCACTTTCCTCCAGACAGCACGTGAAACACAGGGCAGTGGCAAGGAGAAAGGCGGGGAGAGGAAGGACAGGTGTCCCTGTGACAGGCTGCAAGACAGCCTCTTTGGCTCAGAGCTTCAGCTGCAGAACATGGTTGTGTTTTCCCATGATCCCTAGGAGCTCCTGCCCCACCTACCCACCCCTACCCCACCTACCCACCCCTACCCCAACAGCTGAGTCTATTATGATGGAAATGATAAGGAGTAATGTGATTATCCGAGAAGTGCTTTTGAGAATGGGGCTGAGACTAGTGTTATGATCCACTGCAGCATTTCTTTGCACACGGCAAGCTACCATGTCTTCCAAATCTGCTGGTTTAATGACAGGGTATCTCACCAAATGTCAGGAGTGACACCACAGGAGCACCATGTTTCACGTGGAATTGAAGTTTGAGAAGAATTTTAATATTTTGGTGTGTTATAAGGAACAGTTTTTCAGAATATGAAATCTTTAAGAAGCTCTTCGTTTACCTCCTGATTTCTGGAATTTTCTTTGCATTTGGTGCTTAGCCTCCAGTTGGCCTAAACCCCTCCAAAGCAAAGCATCATAGGGAAGCAGAACCTTTGGGGTTCCAGATTGACGCTCATCTGTGCAGGGGTACATGGCAGGGGTGAGTGAAGTGCTGAGAACATCTCTTCAGCTTTGCTCAGGCGCTACTGGCTTCTCTTGTCCCCCTGAGGGTCAGCCATGATGTGAAGGAGGAACATAAGAACCAAGAGCCGGAGAAGAGAAGGGATTTGTCACGTCTGAAGAACTACAGAACCAGGAGTCCCTGTGCACATCTCAAAACTCATTCTCTGTCTTTCCAGGGTATGCATTGTAAACCAACTGCAACTCACTAGCCTGCCACAGCCACGAGTGTTACAGACAGTGGCCTGGGGTTACACCAGACTTGAGACTCAGCCCCTATCTCAGGGTTCCCAAGCTGGGATAACATGAGATCCAATTGTGTCCAGGTTTGTGACATTCCAGGTTAGGTGAACCCGTGTTAGCTAAAAGCATGAATTTTAAATCCCTCTCAAGTCAGAGACTTAAGTGTTAATAGTTACATATCTGTCTAGAGAGGAGTGGTATGTTCTCCCCCAGTCATGAATATAGCTTTAGGAACCCAAGAGAGGAGCACAAAAGCACGGAATGGTCCTCCTGACTCATTCTCTACAGAGCTGGCCCAACAGCCTTCACTTTTACCACCTTAACCCAAAGCTTTAGAGGATCTGCTCAGGACACCCCTCTAACCAGATCAAGTTGTTTTCATTTCTTAGAGGCTTTTGCCCCCTCCCCCTGAGATAAAATCTATTGCCTTGGGCATGATAAGTAATAAGCACTCATACCACTGAGCTACATTTCCA